GCCGGCATCTAATGTCTAACTTCAATCGATCCATGATCTTTTGCAACCATTCATCCATTGACTGAAGTGGATAACGGTCTTCACTCCACACGAATTGAATTCCAATGGTTGCAGCCTCTCACTAGAACTCTAGGAAATCCATCTTGAACCTAGATATTAGTGAGCATTTGATTACTGCCGAGTCCCTTTGGTATGGGATTGTAGATGCTCACTGCTGAAGAGTCTCATACTAAGACGAAACGGTCATCATGTGCCTCCAGGTTTTCCATGGTGATCTAGCTTCAATTGCCTTATGATTTCAACTATAAAATTACGGAAATCCCCACAAAACCTCCTTCTGAAAAAAATATTGTTACATTTTTCAAATATGTGCCATTTTACACCTACTCTTTGGTATTACTATGATTACTATGAATAAAAGCATTATCTTTCCAACAACGTGATTCAGTTTAACCAAACATATAAAACAGCTTATGAAGAACATTCACATCATACCAAGATCTTGTCATGATGGGTGTTAACAATAACTACATAAATGTATATAGATATGATAATATTTATTTACAATATGAACTTTTTTGTATTTCTTTGATAGTTGGTGAATTAATTGGTACATCATTGTCACCACACCATCCAATATCATCAATTGATCATAAATCATCATTCCTCTAAATTAATAGACAAGCTGACAGACATACCCTACCTATCCACACCAAAATACATACATATGTATAAAATGATTATGTCCTTACTAAATGTTCACACAAAACAAAATTCGTGGATGCGCACTGCTACGGAGTTCCACGGCCGTCCAGTGCTTCCAGGTTTTCCATGGTGGTCTAGCTTCAATTGACTCATGATTCCAATTATATATATAAACCGAATCAATTTATTAAGACATTTTAAAAAGAAACTACTTAAATCAAGAATATACTAATCTTAGTTTATTAAATAACATCGGTTATATTCATTATTAAATCACAGACTAGACATTATCATCCCCCCCCTATCAAATATTTTGGGTAAAGAGTATCGTAGGTAAATAATAAGTTTAAATTCTATAGTCTGTATAATGAAACCGAATTGAGACAATGGATTTAAATCTTATACCCAACTGGTAAACTATCTTATATTATGACTCATGTCTATATAATATAAGTAGAAGAAATACTATAAATCCATAATGCATACATCTAACCAAGATTTTTTTTCTCTCCATCAAGTTAAGTTAGAACTGAAGAACTTGTGACTTTACTTCACATATCTCCTACGGTATTACTCATATATTTAAGACTTGTACTGTTTGTCATTAATAATAATAATAATACAAATAGTTGTTCACATTTCATATGTACGCTCATATTCATTCATCAATGAATAAAAGAGAAATAATCGTAATATCATTCGAACAACCAATCATTGACACAACCACTGAAGATATCAATACAATCAATTATATTTACAAAGAATAAGTAATATAGAATGATTATGGTTTTAGATGACTATTAACGGTCGTCCAGTGCTTCCAGGTTTTCCATGGTGGTCTAACTTCAATTGACTCATGATTTCAACTATGAAAATGTTGAAATATCAACAAAAACCCCTTCTGATTGTTAGTTAATCTAAATCTGAATAAAAATTTAACCAATGACAATTAGAATGACTCATTACTCATCGAATTATTTATTTAATATATTTCAGTTCTATCCACAGGCTCCTTTGAATAAATCATAACATAACATCCGATTTCGTGATGTTATTTATTTTTTTTTAAAGAGCCTACCTACCAGTAAAACATTATGAAGCCTTAGTTTTTGTTTTTTTACTGTTCTCACGTTCAAGTTTAATTGGGTTTTTTTTTAAAGTTCAGTTAAACAACAACATTACTAGTTTTATGTGTAATAGAAGTCTGAACAATTAATTCTTTTTAATTTGATTGCCGTTTATTTAGTAAGATTTTTTTCCATAGAATAGGGTTGTCGACCCCACCGTTACCTGGGCTTGAGACCGGCAGTAACTCTACAAGAACTACAGGCAGAGTTAGAAGTTTGTATAAGACTGTTCAAGTTAAAATAACTAACATCAAAGCATGTTAAATCACTAAAATATTTTTTGAGCATAAGATTATGTGAATACACTTCTCATTTGTTATTGTTTTTTAACGATATTATTATTTCCCTCCCAGCCATGATCACATTCACGTGTGAAAGGAATAAGCGTATAGTTACGTTTACCAACTTACAACCACCATGAAGTCATTACCCTAACCTTTCCGATTACTGCTTGTACTCTTACTACTTCTACCATTATGGGATTTGAATCGACAACTTCATCTCTGTGATAATGTGGTATGGCAACTCGAACTGATGTACGTACGTACGAAGTTCTACGTTGTAACTGACTGACTGACTGATGAAGTCATTCAGGATAAACACGACATTGGCTACAATCCTTTCCATACCAACCGCTATCACAACTAAACACGTAGAAAAAGAATATTATTAGAATGAATCAAGTTGATTGGTGACATTTTAAAACCTTATTGGTAACATCATATAAATGTGGTTATTTGTAGATGAAACTCAGTAAATGAATCTTTCAAGTGGACAATACAGTGATAGTAGAACCCTAAGATTAGGATATAAAATGTATTAGTGTACAGCCATGATGAAAATCTAATTGAAAAGAAATTTCTTCGCTCAATTCGTTCCTTTTCATTTGTCAAATGTCAAAATGGGAATTCTCACTATATTAAAAAGAAATAAAACACTCTATTTTTGTTAGTTTACAAAGTTTATCCATTTTATATAACTAAAAGTATAAACATAAAGCATCATTTAACAATTTCACTCAAAAAGAATGTAGTCTTTGTTGAATTCTATTGAATTTCTTGCTAGAGTACCGTCAAATAAGATCTCATTCATAAAATTTTATCGAAACCCTTTAACTAAATATTTACAATAATCTATCAATTAAGATTCTTGGTTATTACATGACTAGTAATAGCATGTGATTTTTGCCTGCAATACTCAAATTTTATTTATTTTTTTCTTGAGATTATATTCATCAATTGTTTATGTGTAGCCGATTATCAATAATTCAATATTTATAAAAAGTGGTAAACAGCTCGCGCAGAATATAAAGATAAGAATAGTTTTTATATTTGATTATTGGTGGGACTATAATTTATAGACGACCTTTAAGCGACACTAAAGTAGCCTTGAGAATGTCCACCTGTTGACTAGGGCTAAATGAGGGTTATAAAGCAGTACGGGGAATTAGGATTATGATTGACAGTTGATGTTTAGGGTTAGGAAGTAGATTTAGGGTTTTCATCACGAATTGACATCAGCTAAAATGCCGAAACGCTTTTTAGCCAAATGGATGAATGAATTTCGCACCAAAGTTCAAGACATGTTATCGTAAATCTGATTGGTTCGTCCATAAATTACAATCTTGCCTCAGTATTTACTCCCTAAAAAGAGAAAATCATAGTGATCAAAACTCTACTCAGTAAATATTATTTATATGAATTTGGAAAACTCATAGAAGGATGACCGAAAGTAATAACTGAGACGAAATTAATGAATTCACCAAAGAAATATTCAAAATGAAACCAATTATCCATTATTATAATAGTAATATTAATAATAAGCATGATTAATAATTAATATATCCTTTTGTGATATCCCAAAGAGTAGAAAATTTTACTTTTGACATTTCGTGACTTAATATAAGTCACTTCTTCAGAGTAAATAAATCATTATTTACTTTGGAGAAATGACTAATGAAACGTCATGAAACGTCAGAAATACAATTCTCTACTCGTTCGGATATCACGAAAAAACATGTTTACGAATTACTTTATACCAAATGCTCAATTTACTTGGAACTATCAAATAAACATGATAATTAAAATGATTCTTATCTACCATACCAATAATTACATTCTTTGATATGCTTTTGCAGAATAACAACAAACTATTTGACATGAAAGGAATTCTTCTCATTTTGTATGATTAGTCTCCTCCATATAACTTACAATGATAATATTATGAAGATTGAGATTTAAGTAGTGCGGTTCATTGTCGAAAAATAATCATTAATTCTTCACACAACCATTAAAGTCTAAACTATAATTCATTCTTAAGAGTTGTTCGAATCTCCCACCTCCTACCTCCATGTTTGCTGATATTTTAGACGGCAACTTATCAGGTTACTTTTGGCATATATGTATCCAATGCTGATTGTCTCGGCATTCCCATTAGATAATAAGAATTTTAAGCAGAGTTTCTAGGTTATGCGAAAACAAAATAATTGAAATGATTTCTTGGTGCAATTGATCTCAAGGAACATGTTCAATGTCTTTTTAGTGTGAGTGAATCAATCAATAGAAGAAAGATGGTATTTGTGCAAAAAAGTGATAAATTTATAATAATAATAATTGTAATAATAATAATTATAGCCCAATGAGGTATTAAAAACTTCACAAACGTGTTCAGATAAAGTGGTAGCAAGTGTAACGACTTTTCCAAATATAGATAGCATTAAAAATTATTATTATCATTATTGGAAAAAGGACAAGTAAACATAACTTAAAGGAAAGATAATAAAAGAAATATAGCAAAATGGTTGATTCTAGTGTGTTTTAGAGTATTTTTTTTATTATTTAGCTGACACAATTTCGTGGAGCTTGGTTTAGGTCGTAGGTTGTTTTCATCACAGGTTGATCTCTTCTGTAATTGTGGCATTAGAAGTTTATCAAGCAGTTCTAATAGCCAAGCATTCCTTCAATGACCTGAAGGTCCTAAGTTTGACTCCTTGTTATATCTTTGATGTGCACTTCTGAAGAGTTCTATGATAGGATGAAACAACTATCTAGTGTCACCTGATTTTGAATGTGATCTTAGTTGAGAACAATCAGTGATAAATACAATTTATGCATTTTCCTAAACAAAGAATAATTAAAATTTCGTTGAAATTCTTCATTTTTTTTATAGTGTCCTAATTATCACAAATATTTACTCATCGGTTATTGAGAAATCATCAAGTGAAAATCCAAGTGATCAAACCATTTCATATTCTTTACCAAAAGAATGTACTCTTTTTCCAAATCAAAAATATCTTAGTGTATTACCTGGATTTGGATGGGATAATTTGGTCAATCGCGAAAGAGGTCCTATAATAGACGTGGAAAAATATTCACTATGTCGACGTTCTGTAGACGGGAAATTTCTAATTCCGGATGAAATAACTGTTCGTATGTAATCTATTTTAAAGATATTTTTTATTTAAATAATTACTTGTAAAATGAAACATGGACTCATTATTTAAAATGTTTGTGTTAGGTTACTTATGAGTAGCAAAACAATAATAAAATGATTTTCTTATTTCAATAGAAACAGCGTGTATTTACTTTCTAATTTCATTAAACGTCAAACGCGGTACTGTACTAACTTTTTCTACAAGAAATAAATTGTTATTCATGGTTGCGTTTTGCAGACTGATATTTCGAAAGTAGAAAATCACATTTGCTCTAATATGTATGATATATATATTACAAGTAATTCAGTGATCAGGTTCGTAAAAGCAGAAAACATACACCTGGCCAACGAGCGCTAGCTATTAAAAAGAGATCAACATCCAAGGTTCCTTGATCATTGTTTTTATGTTATACAACCTGCAGAAAATTGCACAAACATAATGAATGACATGAATTACTGACCATATATTGCAATTCTATTAGCACTGATGACTAGATAAACATGATATTAGTTAGCAATCAGTGATTATTTATTGTAAACATTTTATATTCTACATGCAAGAACAATAGAAGAAATGAGAATATTCCAGTGATAATGCTCCAGATTCAACTAGGTGAATATTATCAACAGGTGTGATATCAAAGTCAAAGATTTATGATGATCAAGTCCTAATACTCAGATTCAAAATAGAATAAGTTATTACAAACTGTACTTCATTAAACTTTTCTTGATGTTGGTCTAATATCAAGGTTACAATTGATAATTTCAAATCAATTGAATATTGGTTATAAAGTTAATTATAATAAGATAAATATATATCCTTGTTATATCCCAATGAATAGAAATATGGATTTCTGACGCCTCACAACATGATGTAGGTCAATTCATCAGAATAGGTAAATAATTTGGTTATTTATTTAACTATTCTGAAGAAGCGAATTACATCGAGTCACGAGACGTCAGAAATCCTGGAAGTCCTGGAAGTTACCCGTACTTATGTCTTCGCTAGGATATAACAAGATGAAATTTTCTTGAATATCAAAACCAGAATTCAAAATTATAGAGTTAACAAACTTTAGATGGTTCTTTAATGAAGTAACTAAAAACAGAAACTTAATAATTATAAAGAATTATCTGAATTAAAATCAATCAATCAAAGTTAAAATTACATGATATAATTAATACCTAAGAAAGAATTAAAATAAAGAATAATAAGATAAGACAATTCTTCAAGTGTTCTTTTAAACAATTATGATAATTTTTAAGCAAAGATGGTTAGTGTCTAGCAGTGGAATCCAGGACGCCTGCATTTCAGTGTTGAAGTTCACTCCGGGACTCGAACCCAGCCACTATCCATCTTTGTTTACCATGCTTGTGAATTAAGGCTATATCGAGGCAATACGCACAGTATGCACATATGCCAATAAGAGACTGATCAATTGTAGTCCTAAACATCAATGGAAAGATTCAAGCAAGAAATACCAAGTGAATTTAATTGTGATAATTCCCATACATTTACATTGTTGCTGTCTTCAATGTGATTTACTAATTACATACTCTATATATAATTTTTAGAACCAATAAAGAATTCGGAAATTAAATTATCCTCTGAAGTATACGAATCAATTAGTCAATGTCGTTCATTAGTAGCCTATTCAATTAATTCAGCTGTTGGCGGTGAATATTCATATTTTCGTATCAATGGAGATTTTTCATCGGACAAAGAAACATTACGTGAAAAACTAGTGAGTTATTATGTTAATAGATTATCACTATACGTGTACTTTCATTTTCTCATTTTAAATTATATTTTGAAATTATGGAGGCTGACTACAAATTAATCTTTCACTAATGATATGGCGTTTTCATGATTCCAGTCTATCATGGAATCATCCTATTTTTAAAACAATTAATTAAAAGACAAGTGGAAAAAAGTAAATCATTAATTTACGATGCCTCATCATTCATAAATCTCAACAATTATACAATTAAGACATTTTTTGTAATATGCTAACCATTCAGTTTTCTTTGTTTGTCTTTTACATAAAGACTGTAACTCTTCAAACGACAAATGTATTGCATATTTTTATTAGTCATTTGATCTATTTACTGAAAGCCGTTCATCTTCTTTAAAAGAAAAGATATTTTATCAGTAATTTGGCTTTTGTAATTAAACGTGGCTTGATTGCACTTCATATCACTTAGATGGTCGGCCATGTAATCACAATCAGAACTGTTGTCATAATCTATACTCACATGAAACTATTTTTGAAAACCTTTGTTCATAGTCGTATGGTGAGATTTGTGTAGCGCATATATATCTGGTGCTTCCTTGTACCAATATTTATGTGTTTAAATAAATAAATAATAAATAGTTGTATGACTGAAACTTATTCAATCAGATTGTTTGAGACAATCAGATTAAAAATTGAGGTAATATCTTTCTATCTGTAGTGTAAATAGTTCCCTCATCTTAATTGTTGTGCAGGTATAGATTTGAAACTTTGTATTATCGTAAACATACGGTGTAAACCACTGTAATATAATGAACACATTATTTTGTTTAATATATATACACAAAGTTTTAAAAAAACGCTAACTAATAATTTATACGGACACAAAGGTAATTTAATTTGAATTGCTGAACTAGCAAACATTGAACAGTTCTTTTTTTTACTTTGCTACAGTGTTTATCAGTAGTATACACACACTTCATTTGTAAGTTTTTACTCTTAAGTGGTTGTTAACAATAACATACATCAATCAACATAATGACTATAGAGCAGTGGATAAATATGTACTTTATATGATTATATTCACTGGAAAAGACAACAACACTAAACTAATTGATTGTTGTCTGGTGAGTTACTCTCAATAATGATAATCGGGAGACACTGAAATTAGTGATTTAATACTATTATGAATAGATGATTCTCCCTATTCAATAGTTTCAATTTCCTTCAAAATATTGATTTGCAGTTTGTCTTAATATAATACTCTTAAAACCTTACTAGACGTTGAACTCAAGTTTCTCTGTTAGTTTATTATTGTTATATCATTGAACTAGTTTACATTTCTAACTTCATAGTTGAAAGCATGAGTCGGTTGAAGCTAGACAACCAAGGAAAACCTGGAAGCACTGGATAGTCGTTTCGTTCTATTGTGGGACTCCTCAACAGTGCGCATCTACGATCTTGCCTCGCGAGACATTAACACCATCGGATGTCGGCTCAGTGGTCTATCGGTTATGTGCTCTGGAGCGAGACTGGTAGGTCCTGGGTTCGAATCTCGCAAGAGGAGATCATAGATGCGCTGGAGATTGAGTGCTGTTAGAGGTATGAGGTCAGTTATCACTTCCCGATTGCCCACACCGTGGAAGGGTTCTTCTAGAGGTACCTGAAAAGGAAATCGGGTTAGAAGTGGTCTTAATGACCTGAGAGCGTGACCGCAGTGCTCAAGGGACAACTGCTTGAGGTCGGTCACACACGACCTTTTTGTGAGTAATTTTTGTGTTAGCTCCGTACTTGTTGGGACCTTACCACTGCAGACGGAAACCCGTGGGATAAGGCGAGGTGTGCATTTTTAGGGTCGACCTTTTCTAACCCCACCCCTCCTTGTGAGAAGATAGCATCTCTGTTATGCTGTCTGTCTGAAGGAAATACTTTACTGCCATCACACCTTTATACAGTCAGCAGTACGACTTCGCCTTCGGACCTTGGGTTTGCTGCTTTTAGTCTTACCTCTGTTCAGCCGACCTGTCTGGTATGGTAGGACCTTGAGAAACGATTGTTCCAGTCAGTATAGCTCGATTGGTTCATCACGATAGGCAAGCCCGACCACCACGTCAAAGTAGCAGCAACGGTCGGGTTCCACAAAAGGACGAAACAGCCTTCCAGTGCTTCCAGGTCTTCCTTGGTGGTCTAGCTTCAAGTGACTCATGCTTTCAACTATGAAAATACTGTAATCTCCACAAAACCCACTCAAATTTCTAATTTCAGTCAAATAATTATATATTTAAGTTTTACGATTATATCATTCATATTCTAATATGTATTATTTATTTTGAATTGATAGAGTCAAAAATTGGGACTTATTATTCAAAGTGAAATGCGTCATAATCGTTATTTTATTCAATTAATACCTGATTCAAAATTACATTCACGTTTTAAAAATCGTCTATTAGATATTGCTGCATATTTAGAACATGGAAATGTAACAATGGAAACTATTGAATTATTTGATAATGGTTTAATTGGTAATACATTAAGAAATTCATTAGGAATAGTAACAAATGATAATTTTAAATCATTAAGTCAAGGTATAAATGCATTTTATTTAGCTGATCTAGTTGTTCGGTAAGTAATTGTGAATGGATAGTTTATAATTAATAATGACTATTATTGATAGGTATCATTATCAAGTTTTGATTTGATAATTTTGAATAAATTGAGCATTGGGTAGATTGTTATAAATAAGTTAATATATTTGTAATATCCTAATGAGTAGAAAGATTAGATTATCTGACGTTTCGTGACTCGGTGTAAGCCACTTCCTCAGAGAATAAATAACCAAATTAACATTAATCTAAGTTTAAATAGTACAACGGAACAACACGATTATTAGGTGCGATCAATCAAAAAACAGGTTTGAATAAATCAATGTCATGTCATTTCATTTCGGTCAAAGTGATTCATAAGCGACATGGATGTAAAATTTGTGTGTGTATATGTGCACTGTTAAGGATGAAAAGTGTGTGACCTTTATAATGACAAAGGATAGAATTTAATATAATGGTGTGAATTGTAAATAATATCAGACTAGGTGACTAGGATAGATAGTCCAAGTAGGATGTATGGTAAGGCCTTCCTTTCAATTAAGAGCGGTAGGATTGAGAATTATATGGAACGTTTCAGCTACTCTCCTTTCTTTATAATTGGAAAAACCTTATCGTAGTATTTTGATATTTTAAAAATCAATTTGATGATTGTTGAAAATGGCGTGAACTGCTATTGCTGATTTAATTTGAAGTCTATCCAGTTCTACAGGATTATTAAGAGGTTTCTTTGTGTACCTAATATGTTCTTTGGCACGAGTCAAGATTTCGCGAGATGACTCTCCAATAGAGAAGGCATCACAATTGACACAACCTAATTTGTAGACGCAGTTCTGTGTAGACATGAATGGGATTTTTTTCTTTTAATCGAACTATTATTGATTTTTGTAGCCAAATAATTTGAGCAAAGCTTATATAGATATATTACTATTCCAGCTTTCTAAGAATGACTTGGACTGTTAGGTGAATTATTTATATACTTTAATATTATGTTTGGTTTGCACCTCTCATCTAGCAGTGGACTTAAGACGAATAATCATCTTGCAATAGATGAAGTGGGTAAAAAATCATTCAGCTTATCATTTTCTTAGGAACTGATCTGAATTAGAAGGCAGTTTCAATCAGATATTAAGAGACACTTGTTTTATTCTGTCTGAAAATTTCATAGGAGGATGCATTTATTGTCCTACAAGTAATCGATAGTAAGGCTTAAAAGTCTAACATCAACATAATGCATATACGATTACGAAGCTGGAATTTCAGTAGTTTATATTTGTATTCTCAGATCAGTCCCTTGATGATAGTTAACCACAATCTACACTTAAGGAATCACTTATATGCACATTTATCCGTACATAAAATCCAACAAACTACACTTATTTCCGATTTATTTTATGGTTATATATTCTTTTATACATTGCAATTTTTCGTCTTAACTATTTAATAAATTACAACATATCTGTATTTATTTATGTACTTATGTTTTATAAGTGATTTTGGTACACATTGTATAAACTCAGTTTATGCTGGAGGTGTTTTGGCAAAAATTGACACATTGGATACAAATTCATTAAATACTAAGAAAGAAGATCGATGGCATTTAGGTGCATCAGCTACAACAAGTTTTGCTAATCTCTTTAACGTTAAACTTGGTGGATCTGCAAACGTTAATGATTCTTTAGTAAGTTTCGTTTCGTTTTTCTAGATTTTAATGATGAAATATTTTACAGCCTTCATTGTAGCGTCCATGTTGTTTTTTTAAAGATTTCAGATTGTTGGAATTAGAACATACAATTATTTATTTGTTGCATTCAGTTTAATTTTTCGTCGGAACTTTATTTATTTTTAATTACAACACATGCCAGGGTCAAATTCGTTTTTGTATTTCGCAAACTAATGGCTACCTGGAATTTAGCTAAGTGGATAACGCTATGGTGTTTGAAGAAAACGGAACCGGATTCGAGTCTCAGAATAGACATAAACTCTTGTCCTGCGTAGGACAAAACGCGCGACCTGGATTTCACTGCTGGCTACCATCTATCTTTGCTTACATGCATTCACTAGAGTTTAGAAAGAATGTGAATCAACACTGTACAGTTAGCAGTAAATGAGTACTTGAAGATGAAGAATACAGAGGGGTAGCACATAGGATTTTAATTACAAAAAAACGGAACAACATTGTCATCAGTCACAAAAGAGAGTCTTCGGAAAATGCAACTTCATGCATTTTGTGTCGTATGTCTGTAGACATACGTAGCATACACCCCAATATAAGGTTAATGAACTGCTGGATTATTCCAAAATTATCAATTCCTACCATTTTTCTATGCATTGTGTATACCTATACTAATAGTATTTTTATAGAGAAATTTCAGTTAATAACGTTTACTACTTAAATTTCAGTTTATGTTGATCAAATATTTATCTTGATTTTGATAAAAATTAAATCTACACCAAGGATTATTCATACCCTCAGTGGATGTATATTAATAACAATAATGGTGAAAACAATGGTAGTCTTATTATCTCACTCCTCAAACTACTAGGCATTTTTGATTCTCACAGTTAAAATCACTAGTCAGTCTATGCTAAGCCACCATTGAAAACCTAGAGAAACTGGATGGCTGTTTCGTCCTAGTATGAGACTCTTCAGTAGTGAACGTCCACGATCCATCCAGTTCCCCCAGGTTTTCAATGGTGGTCTAACATTGATCGACTGGTGATTTCAATTATGAAAATGCTATAACCTCCACAAACCCCCATACTAATATTTGATTCTGTCAATAAATCTCTTTACATATTTTAAGACATTTTACAACGAATATTAAAATGGATATGTTTGAGTGTATTGTTTTCCTCCAGTTGAAACCTTAGAATAAATTGATTTTCAACTTATCAGAAAAATTACGAGACACTAATATAAATTACATGAACGTTTTCTTTATCTGAGATAATATTGTACACAATCAATTCCATCGTTCCTACTAGTACCCATATGGATTGATTAATCATAAGACTTTATAAGTGAATGATTTCCATTCAAGATAATCTACATGAATTAACAAACACCGATTATTAATTTAGCGGAAGAACTAAGGAAAAGTAAACGATAGAAAAATACCGGGATTTTCCAACATTTACTTCATAACGGATGAAACTGGCTAAATACTTTCACTGTCTAGATCACTTGTCATAGAATAAAACAAGCTGTCATAAGTCTTATTACAAGTATAATAAATGTCCAATGTGAATACAGTGTCAATTGGACGTACATATCAAGATAAAAGTTGTAAGGGTAGGCGGAATAATTTAAGTGAAGGTGAGCAACAATATGCAAAAGTATTGAGTAAATAAACTTTACAAAACACTTGGAGTGATTCTTTCGGACTGAATTCACCTCAGTGAATTATAGCGTTCCAACGCAAAAGAAAAATTTTCAAATACTAATAGCAATAAAAAAGAATAGCTATTAATGCTCAATAGCTATCTAAACGACACACCATTGTCTGAAGTGACGAGTACTGAGTTTGGGAATCTGAGGGGAAAAATGTAAATATATATCTGATAACTAAACAATTTAACATTTATGATTCTCTAGCAGGCTGATTTATAAGGTCGACAGTCTTTCTTTAACAAAATTACACAAATTCCCGACTGAAACATATGAGCTTTAAGTTCTTTGGTCTTAATTTTTATTTTAAGATAAAGTGTTGAATATTCATAGCTTCACTCAAGTTAACAAATTCAATGGAAAATCAAAATCAAGATGATTGATTATTTTAGTAAAAGTGCCAAGTTTACTTGAAAAGCTTTAAGTAGTATATGATTAAAATCATAATTTTATTGGTCTGCATGTCCATACAAGTCGAATTCCCGAGTCGATCAAAGCTCGGCCATCATTGAAAACTTGGAAGAGTTTGATGTCCATTTTTCATTGATGGTCTAGCTTAGATCGACTTATGAATTCGACTATTAAAATAACTGGATAATTGTCTAATTATTAACTCAACAAACTGCATATTTTCTTCTTAACAATGTTTCAATCTTCAATTCTGGACACATGTAAAAATATTGACTTCTTTTATTAGTTTTATATAGTTGAGATCATGAGTCATTTGAAGCTAGACCACTATGGAAAACCTGGAGGCACTGGATGGCTGTTTCACCCTATTGTGGGACTCCTCAACAGTGCGCATCCACGCTCCCGCCTCACGAGATTCGAACCCGGGACCTACCGGGGCAAAAATTACAGTATGCTTGTGGCTATTCATGATAGACTGCATATAAGTAGATAAAAAAAGTGAATATTTTTTTCAATAATTAACACATTTAAAAGAAAGAAACTGAACAAAGTTGTCTAAGTATTGCATTATTAAGCATGTATTTAAAATTGAACATTAGATAATCAGTAAACAGAATTATTCTACTCACTAAGGTTTATTATTTTAATTAAAAGTAGTTTTTAATATTGAACAAATAGTGAATTTGTAAGCAAAGATGGATAGTCGCTAGCAGTGGAATCCAGGACGTGCGTTTCGTCCTATTTGGGACTCTTCAGCTGGATGTACCTGCATCTCAGAGTTGAAGTTCACTCTGCGACTCGAACCCAGTACCGTTCAGCTCAAGCGCCATCACGTTATCCACTCAGCTACTGAGTCCTGATAGCCACTTGCTTGTGCAATGGGGTGAAGTTTAAATTCACTTAGTATTGTTTGTTTGAATCTTCCCATCGATTTGTTAGGACTGCAACTGGTCAGTCTCTAATTGTCATATGTGCATACTGTGCGTATTGCCTAGATACAGCCTTATTTCATAAGCACTGTAAGCATCAAAGGGAAGATTCAAACAAACAATACTAAGTGAATTTAAATAATTTAATTAGTTTGTTTCAGATTAGAATTTTTTTTAAAAAGTTATTAATTCTGTTGACTTTTTCCTACTAATGAACTTAGTATAATACACATATGATCATAGTAACAAAAACGTTTTTCACTAAGATACATTTATTTCTTGAAACATAACATATTATTTTCATAGTTGCAAGCATGAGTCGATTGAAGCTAGACCACCAAGGAAAACCTGGAAGCACTGAACGGTTGTTTCGTTCTATTGTGGGACTCCTCTAGTGGTCTAGCTTCAATTGACTCACGCTTGTAACTATGAAAATACAAAATCTCCACAAAACCCCTTCTGATAACATATTATTTCTAATATAGATCTTTACTTTATTATTCTGGATTAATGTTAATTAGTTACATACTATATAATTCAATGAAAATTATAAACTCATAAGTCAATAATATTTATACAATTATACATGATCTGTTGTTTGTTTTCTTTCTTTATTGATTTCTTTGTCTGTTTTTCTTAGATTTTTCTTAGTTCTACAATCTTACTCTGTTTGTTATTCAGATAAATAGGTACACATACCTTTTTTTTGTAATTTTTAATGTATTAATCAATAAAAAAGAAATTGATTTTTTAATAAAGATATTTGTCTTTTATGTCAGTGTAATAGATAGAATACTTGAAGATAATGTATATCATGGATTATTATGGTAACTAGGGTGAATCAGTGAAGCTAAGAAGTCTAGAGACAGTTGTTACACCATTATTTGAATCTTTTCAGTAGTTTTCACTTATGACCCAGCTATAGATTGAGTTGAGGAGCTTTAGAATCCAAAGCTAGTGTTACTACATTTAAACTAAATATAGATCAAAATTTAGTCCCTATTATCAACAGCAGGTTGATTCTCACCTTAATTATTATGATAAAAAAGTCATAAACATTGCATAAGTTAGTCGTTATCTAGACTCAGTAGGTCACAGAATAAATCTTGGCTTTTGAAACAAAAGGTACTGAGTGAATAAGAACACTGGGATGCAAGTATACCTAACTGATGAGCTCCAAATAAAACAAAATGTGATTCTTGAATTTTATTGATAACACAATCTATCTATTCTAAATAACTTTAAACCATTGAGTTATGATCCAGTTATCAATATCTTGACTGGATTCTAACTCAGTAAAGCACGAATATCTTGAATTCAACGCTTTAAAAGTTCATGAGTGAAAAATTTTAAGGAATCATAAATTAAGATAATATAGTGGTTCAATCTTCTCTGATTCTCAATAATTATCTCAACTCTATTGATCATGTAGATGATCTTAAAAAATTCAATAATCTTCATATAACGCTTCTAATAATAATGAAAATGTCCTGAAGTTTAGTGATTTTTAAATCTAACTGTTTCCTTGTTTTATTTCATTTTTCATCTTTTATTCCTAACAGATTCAAAATTATGAAAGTAAAATAACATACAGTCAAATTCTGACCTATGGTGGTCCTATTATTTACATGTCTAATGTGAATTTATCACTTTGGGAATCTGGTCTAGACAATCAACTAGTGGCTATTGACAGAAGTGGACAACCAATTTATGAATTAATTACAGATAGATCATTACCTGAGTTACCTAGTCATATGATAGTTCGATTGGTTGCAACAATTAAATCAGCTGTTGAAAGATATTATAAAGCCAATACAGTAGTTGGTAAATCATTTGCTAATTAAGATAGCTGCAAATCCCATGATACATTTTCAGTTTGCACCATAGTCTCCCTCCCACACCTCATTGCTTGTGATCCACATATTTACCTTGGTTTTGTTAGTTCATGTACACAATATTGAACATTTGCACCTATTACGAATCTTGACTTTCTCACAAAAATAATTTATCGCCCTAATCTTTTACAAATAGTTTACACAATCCCTTTTCAGTAAAGGATTGTGGAGATTGTTGAGTTCAAATTGATATCATGAATCGATCAATGTTAGACCACCATTGAAAATCTGGGAGAACAGGACTACTGTCTCATCTTAGTATGGGGTTCCCTAGTAGCACACATCTACAATCCCGGATGTGGGGTTCGAACCCTTCATTGATATTAACACTGTTGGATGCTGGCTCAATGGTCTAGAGGTTAAATGTCCGTCCGCGAGACTGAAGGTCTTATGTGGGGTTTGCGGGTGCACACCATTGAGGAGCTCCATACTAGGGTGAAACAGGAGTTCAGTGCTCTGAGGTTCTCAATGGCAGTCTAACATTGATCCACTCATGATATCAATCTAAATACAACCCTTTTTGTTTTGATAATATTTATTGAATTTATTGTAGCTTTTTTACTCATTGACAATTATTCCAACATACTTGAGTAACCATATATGAATATAGGAAGAGGTTGACAATAAAAAAATGTTCCAGCGCAATAAAAAGTTGGTTTGTAGCTGGCAAACAAAGGATTAGCTTACTTCATAAACGTTTATATTGATTCTTCATGATAATAATGACCACATATATTTTTTGAGTGTGTGGTCATGTGATTTATTTAACGATGTTGTCAAAATAATTTGACTATTTTATCTCAAGAACTATATAAAACTGTAATATAAATATGCATTTCTGAAAGTGTAAAGTCATAAGCAAACAGACACTAATAAATTTATCATCGAGTGACTGGATAATGCTACCAATCGATTTCTCAACTATTTCTGAATTATAAGTGACCTGATTTTGCAATATACTATAGCGAACGATGATAGATTAAAATTTTCTACTTGCTGGTATTCATTAGCATGATTTACCTATCATTTCGAAAAATCTCATTGTTAATCAGTATAATAAAGACAGTATCAGCAAGATATTATTTCTGGTGAAGACAATGGATGATTTCAATGAGGCTTCAGACAACCTCTTCTGATTATTAATTACTTTCAAACCTTCGAGACAATATTTTATCTGGAATTCAATCTATACTTTGTGCTTCTTTGAATGGTGTATGTGTTTGTATGAGTATATTTCCAAAAAGACAACCTATTTATCGTAAGGTTGTAGGTGGTCGACAGTACACCTAGGATCCAGGTTTCTTGTTATCTGGCACTGGTCAGTAAGGTGTACCTATCATTTTGAAGGGACTGATCACTCAATCTCGTATCACTCAACTTCACAGTCAGAGACTTTACCACTGAGTGATCCACACCGTAACTGACCTCCTGAAGGAACGAGATGCATTTACAATTGACTGATCACCGGAAAGTGATGAGTTTTATATATGTCAAGTTGTTCATCAGTTCCCTCAAGGTGAAAGGTTCACCCTATCATCGAGTGTTGAATAGCATGAAACTCAAGTCCAAGGTTTCCTATCGACAACCTCCAACCACTATCTTGCATCTCAGCGTAGTGCGTGCGCTGCCTAGTCACTAAGGCTATTAGCTAAATTGCAGCTTGATTAACAGAGTACGATCAGCACTAATAACAACTTCACATCCATGACATTAGTCACTACCCAGTGATCAATCAATTGTAAATATATTCATTTCCTAAATGAAGTCTATTACTACTAGTTACGTTTACTTGTCATTGGTGGTCAAATGGTAAGGGATAAAAAACCTCGATTCGTGACTACAGTCAAATGGGAAATCTTCTAATTACCAAAAGTTATTTCAAATTGCATTTCAACTTCACGTCACTCCCTAAGCGCTTCATTCAGAGGTCAACCTGAATATAAAGTGGAAATTACCGTCTAGGATAACCCTAGTCATACAACGCTTCAATAAAACGTTTGATAATATGTAGTCACTCAACAATAATCACATATGTTTTTAGTGTCTCAAATTATTCAAATATTCTAGATCGATTTTGCAAGGTGATCACTGAGTTAGATGACTCAATATCATGTTACATAGTATTTGACCATATAATTCACTGACACCACTGCCCGACTATTCATTCATTTTTCGTGTCATTAACATTTAAATGTGTACCTACTATTTTTGTAAAGTGGATGTGCCTATTATTTGCCATATCCGTTCATATGATCTCTCAAGAGTGTATACACATGATTCTATCAGATATCGAATCAGGCCTCATTACTAGTGCATAGTTTTTGATCCATTTAATCAGTATCCAATGATTCATAATTGTAATCTCAAGCTATGAATAATCGTATGCTTACTAGTATCAAACTCCTGAGGTCCTAGTGTTGGGTGTAAGACAAGTTTTGCGATGAGATTCATCAAATAGTAATTGAGTTAGCTAAAAAGTAGCAATCTTTATGTAGTCAAACTGTAATTGATAATGCTTAAAACTAATTCATTTTTCAGGCTGCATGAATCCTTTATCAGTTTTTTATGATAATGAAGCTAATGTGGCTTCCCCGGAATGTGATCTACAAAGTAAACAAATTACAAATACAACGTTATACCTTGGAGGAGTTTATCAAAAGTGTACTGGTCCAGATGATTTATGTCTTGGTGAAACTATACCTAATCCACTTACTGGTGATTTATTTTGTTCACAAGGTTATGTATCAATACAACTGTTACCACAACAAGTTAGAAAATGTTATAGTGTATGCAATGAAAAATCTTGGTTTAAAAATCCCGAATGTACAACTCAGTGTGCTATTACTGAATCTTACTGGTGTTCACGTGATCCATCGTTATCATCATCATCATCATCATCATCTAATATATTAGACAATAGTGATAGTGGTTATTTATTTGGTGGTCTTTATACAGATAAAGAGGTGAACAGTTTAACTAAACAATATAATTGTCCCCAATATTACTGGCCAATAACACTTGGTCGACGTATGCGTATCTGTTTATCAACTGATCGTGAATTAGGCGGTAAATATTCGTTACCTTTCGGTGGTTTTTATAGTTGTTATTCTGGCAATCCATTAACTGCTTTAATTAATATCAATCAAACTGATAAAATAGATAGTAATGAGCAACATACTCGGATACCAGAATGGTTTAAAATACAACAAGAACGAATGTCATTCACTCTCCCACCACCACCACCATCATCATCATCATCACCGCCACCACCACCACCACCACAACAACAACAACAAAAGCATGGAACAATGCGATCAATGCTTCGTAACGATAATTTAACTCCTTTCAATGATCAATTTGTACAGAATGATTTTTCACAACTATTTGCTGCATTATGGCCGAAAAAATGTCCAGTTGGATATACAGCACATTTAGCTGCTATGGAAGATATATGCCAAGTAAGGAAATTAATGCCTTTGATAAATAATTTCTTTTTAGTGTTTTTGTTTAAAAAATAACACTAATGATTATGGTAGTGATGATGGTGAAACTGAAGTGAATATATTTCATATCTCGCGTGTTTTAAATCATTATTGCTGTTAGAATTTCTAAGATGACGTCACTATTACTTTTTTATTGGAATTATCATTTTATTTCATGTACTTATTTATAGCATGATTTCAACCGCTTATTCTGTTCCTAGATAAATTGACGGTATCCATGACTATTTTCATATTGATGAAATAAATGAATTTATGGATATTTCTCAGAAAAATATAATTACCAAACATCAACGTATTCATAGAATCAGTCGGTGTGTGAACGGTTTTAAGCAGATCAGATAAGGAGAATTCACTTCATCTCATAATATTTAAGATTCTTTACAAACTAACTGAAGGTATACTGATTTTATTCAATGATGTTGTGCTCTCTGAAGAAACTGGTCTAATTGTAAAATTTTCACCATCTTTCTGAGCATTGTGAAAGACACAAACCCTGAAAACCGCAGAATACAGGAAAATGGAAGTTACTGAGATTGGGAAAGACTAGTTACCTTGAACAGTTTACGAATGAGAATATAGGAACTGATTACAGAAGAAGATTTATTAAGCATTGCAGAAACATAAGTATTATACCCGGAATTACCATCATTTATATATCGATTTTATCCACGATTGATGATTAATTGAACAAATATCACATATGGGGGAATAAAACAAAATTATTACAAAAACCTATTGTCCATAACATACTAAACGAAGTCCATGCTAAATTAATAGAGAGAATATGATTTTGAATTAAGTTTACAATGAATCAATGTTATACTGCACAAAATATGACACTCAAAATAAAAAAGATATATTACAGTGACTAATTATCATGCTGAATTTTAATTAGAATTAATATGGAAAAAAAACCAAAACGAGTTAGAAGTGTGATTTCTAATTTGTTCAACCTTACATAAAGTTAAGCCGACTCAGTGGTCTATCGGTTAAGTGCTCTGGTGAGAGACTGGTAGATCCTGTGTTCGAATATCGCGAGGCGAGATCATGGATGCTCACAGCTGAGCAGTCCCACAATAGGACGAAACGGCCGTCCAGTGCTTCTAAGCTTTCCATGTTGGTCTAATTTCAATCGACTCATCATCTCAGCTGTATAAAGTTAAGCGATGGAAATAGTATGATTTTTTCCACAAGTGGTCAGTCGCTAATGCTGATGACATAGGATGTGATCGATTGACCTCAGTAATTGTGCTATCACTATCTTTTAATAATTTATATAATACAGCTGTTATACTTCTGATACTTAGATAGTTAAACCATTCTATTAAGAATTCCATATCGTACTAAACATATAGCATTCAATAAAGCCATTATTATCATAACATTCTTTTTTTTCGAAAATCTTTCAAACATTTGAAAGACTTTTCGGAATAGGTTGGTTGCGGTTAACAATGAAATAGTGTATTATAGATTCCACTGCTAATCAATCGAAATTCAGTAATGAATTTCGACATTAAAATAATTTAGTCTCTAAAAAACAAAGCATTTCAATATTATTTTAAAAGGCATATAAAAATGAGTTTTCAGTGGACACAAAATTTGCCATGAGGATGATTTTCTTTTAGTAAAATGGTTCTAATTGTATATCCAGTGAGAATGAATTATACTTTGCATGATTATGATATTTGTTTAAGGTTTCTTTTTAACTAAATGACATTTCTAGAGTCAATCAAATAAAGATTATTTTTTTATTGAAATTTGGAGACAGAAAATATTGACTGGAGTTGGTTTTGTTTTATAATAAAGGTTTATTCATTTTTGTGTAGATCAACTTTTTCTTACAATGATTATAGTGTTTCCATGATAGTCGTCGTATTTTGAAATCTAACTAATTTTAAATATTTCTGTGAAAGACAGTAATTCTTCATTGGTTGTGAGACTATCGAAAAAATTCTCAAAGGATGTACATATGCCAAAAGACACTGGTTATTTATAGTTGTGAACTTTAGCGAGAAGCTTCAAACAACTAATAAAAGTGAACTAAATTTGACTTTATTGCACAAGCAAGTGGATATATGGACACATTAGCTAAGTGGATAACGCAATGGGGTCTAAAGTGAACGGTACTTGGTTCGAGTCTTGGGATGGACATTAACTCTGGGATGCTGATACATCCAGCTGACGAGGTTCAAATAGGACGAAACGTAAATCCTAGATTTCACTGTTCTCCAACATCCATCTTTGCTGATAATTCCACAATGATAGTTTGGGAAGCCAATTTAATTACATTTCCAACCAGCCCTCCGTTTGGACTTGTATACAAGAATATGCGAATTATCTGAATATCTTATTAGAGATGATAAAAAATACCCTGTAAATATAATTCAAAAATCGTTTTGAAACTAGCTGCACACAAAAAGAAACACTAATTTGTCATATATATTTTATTTAAAATTTTTCATATCCTGCGATCTTCAGGGTACATATAAATTCTTGTTAGTTAACATGGTTTAAAGTGAGGATCAACATTTATGAAATACTAATTCAGTCTAGGTATATGCATTATTTATTAGTGTAACACTTAATTCAATAATCCTTTCATCATGGTTAGTGCGTTAACAATCTGTTTACGTCAAAAACTCATAATAATAAGATCATTTTTTGAATTAATACACTAACTTACTTACTTACGCCTGTTACCCCTCGACGAGGAGTATAGGCCAAACACCAGTATTCTCCATTCAACCCTCTCCAAAGCAATCCTTTCCAGTTCTTCCCAGTTGATATTCATCCTTTTCATATCTGTTTTCATTTCCTGATGTAATGTGTTCTTCGGCCTTCCGCTTTTCCGCTTCTCTTCGAAATTCTAAGTTAAGGATTGCCTTGTGATGCAGTTTGTGATTTCCTTAATGTATGTCCTATCGACTTCCAACGTCTTTTCATAACTTCTCTTCAGATGGAAGCTAGTTTATCCTCTCCCATAGAAGACTGTTGCTGACAGTATCCGGCCAGTGAATGTTCAGTATTTTGCGTAGACAACTGTTTATAAATACTTGTACCTTCTTGATGATGGAGGAAGTAGTTCTCCAAGTTTCAGCTCCGTACTGTAGGACTGTCTTGACGTTTGTATATAAGATGCTCATTTTGAACTTGGTTGAGAGTTGTTTTGAGTTCCATATGTTCTTCAATTGTAGGAATGCTGTCCGAATCATTACACACATTAAAATATATATTCGACTCAACACGACAGCATTTTATTGAAATTATGGACTGATTAGTGTTGAACCACAAGTGAAAATGTGGAAGAGCTGTATGGTCGTTTCGTCCTATGTGTGACTCCTCGGCAGTACTCATCCGCAATCTCATAAATGAGAATCGAGCTTAATAAAACCTGGTCAACTTAATAAGAACTCAACAGTCTCCGCAACCCTATACTCACAACAGCATATATATTTCTTACATTGTAAGATCTTTATAATAAAATTATCAACCAAATTCATCAATAAGAGAAAAAGTCACATTCTTGGAGAGTAATTAAGAAATACATAGTTAAATCATACATATAATTCTCTCTTTGCCGTACCAGTTTATTTTCCATTTACTAAGATCATACTTATAATATATGGATTGGTTGAAGTTAGACACTAACACTGTTGGATGCCGGCTGAGTGGTCTAGAGGTTAAGTGCTCTGGCGCTAGATTGGTAGGTTCTGGGTTCGAATCTCGCGAGGTGGGAGCTTGGATGCGCATTGATGAGGAGTCCCACAATAGGACGAAACGGCCGTCCAGTGCTTCTAGGTTTTCCATGGTGGTTTAGCTTCAGTTGATTCGAGATTTCAACTATTTATAATATATTTGTTGTAAAGCTAACTGAATACAAGATACCTGATCATTAAAGAAACAGAAAAAAACTGCTCAAATGAGGGAATAAATTAGTATATCTGTTTCAAAATGACCATGCTAAATAAGACTATCTATTAGTTTGACTTTATTTATGGTAACAAATAAAATCAATTTACTTACTTACGCCTGTTACTCCCAATGGTACATAGGTCATCGACCAGCATTCTCCAACCCACTCTGAGTATGCTGGTCGGCGTCATTATTTATATTTATATTTATATTTGAAATGAAAGATTTGGTAAAATTCTTACCATTAAAGAAACCCCATTATAATTATTATTACTTTTGACAGGTAAATTATTGTGTTCAAGCAAATTTTTTAAAAGAACAAGTAAGACGTCAGTTGAAACGACCTCCATTTGTTTTACCAGTAAGCTTTGATTCATATTTTCTTCTGCATATAAAATGATTCGTTTGAATTTAATTTTTTTTGTTTTTCGAAGTTTATACAAATAAGAAATGTTTGATCAAGTGGTTATAATATTCAATAATTCTATCTATTCACTATAGAAACAAATTGGTAAATACTTTATCATTATGATTGTGAAGTTAAGTCTAAATGCTTTTGTAATTGAGGTTCGAAACTGTAACAAAAATATAAATAAAGCTAAGGGTTTACATGAAAAGTTTACACTGATGAAAGATAATAATTTGCTGTTCAACTGTAAAGTAAGGACGAATATTGTTACATAAAATTTCACCCTAAATACATTTATGTTTATGTATATACCTAGTAAACTAGATAAACTTTTTGAGGTCAATAATCTTTATTGTAGGTATCCATTTAGTTAATTTGTTGCTTACAGATAAGAAAATCCACATCATCCAACACTTATCATTTCAGCTCTTAGGGAATTCATGTCATGAAACCGTGATTTAGTCTCTTCACTGGAACAAAGTCAAGAAGCCACACCAAAATAAGTAGTAGACGGGCATATATTATTCATATATTATTTCCTATTTAATTATTCAGCTTCACAACAATACCAAGAAGATTATATATGCGCTAGCATAACATAGATACTTATTGTAAATGATCCCAGTATCCGATTCGACTTGTGTTGTAGGTTTCCTTTATTTATGAGAGTCATGATCAATAGAAAAACCATAAACATAAAATGGTAAAGTCAATTAATTTTATCAATGTTTCAATTTTCATTTCTAAAGTAAAACTATGGATTTATTCATGTATACAAAAACACTATACACACAACAATTTAACAAATCCTTACAGATTTATACAAAAGAAGAAAAATTACCGTCATTTTCAAATGATCCACATGGTAGATCTATTTTGACGGAAGTAAGTTAGTGTCGATTATGCACCTCAAAAAAATTATGCACAACTACAGATTTAAAGGTTGATTCCACTTTTTAATTGCACAGGCGTGGGTGTGAGCATACATTTAAAGTTTAGTGTTTTGTAGTGTCCGTTACTATGTTAAGCCCATATACCTTATTCTAGCTTAAGGATAAGCCAATTTATCCTTTCTTCTTGAGTCACGTTTTGACCTTGTTAATTATTCGCTTATCAACCTTAACTGTTTTTATATGAGCGCATGTGTTTGCACTTCTTATCCCACTCATCATATCGGGCTCACCACTTTAATGGTCCGAGAACTGACCCCAGGTCGATCGTATGAGCGATTTTTTATTGAATGACTGCTGTCAAACTATACATCCTGACTATTCTCGCATATTATTATCGACCTAAATCGCATTAGTGAATAAAGGAATTAAATAAGTCTAATACGAGAATAAATTTTGAATACGTATATTTTGTACAACCGTTGATCCAGACAAACGAGCGAAACAAAATGACGTGCAGTGGAGAAGGTATGTTAGCCAACTCCATTTAATCAAGCGTGAATCGATATTCATAGTCAGATAAAAGTAAGTTACAGACATGTGATGAATAGTATAAGAAGTGCACACACACATACCCTCATATAAAAACAGTCAAGGTTGATAAGCAAATAATTAGCAAGGTAAAAATATGACTCAAGAAGAATGAATAAATTGACCTGTCCAGAAGCTAGATTAAGGTATATGAGCCTAACATAGTAACCAACATTACATTATGTATCACTTGTGTTTAGATCATAACTATATGAAAACTATTTTAAAGTGTATTTTAAACACCTTTTTTTATTAATTACAGTTATATGAGTTTTTAGACCATAGATTATGATTACTTCACGGACATCAACTAGTAAGTTTGAAACTCTCACCTAAAAGTCATTGATTGAACGGTTTAAAACTGTCTTTGACTATGTGTTTCTATCCTTTCTTCCAGTTTACTATGTTATCTGAGATAAGGTATCAAGAAATGTAGGGGTTAAACGTGGATAATGCACATACCAATAAAAGTTCAAAGTCTCGTTAGTCAAATTATCATCTCTATCTAATACCTTAAGACTAACTATGTAGTGTTTCCACTACAGGTGATCACTGTTTCAAAGAAAAATGATCGAATAATGACAATTTACACGAATGTGCCAACCTCATATGTCACTTATTACATTGGTGAAGTAATATGGAGACAACTTTTTCACAGTACAGCCAAGTAAATGTATGATCACTTAGATGGTTAACATTTAACCATTACCTTTTTTTAAAACGGATGATGTAGTGATTCATACCATACATCAGTCAAGTATTTTATTATCACTGTTAAAACTTAAACAACATTTTACAAAAAACTAACAATTAATTCACTGTACTTCCATGTATTCTTGCAGATTAAATACAAGATAATATGCATTTTTTTAGTAAACACCATGAATTATACAGTTAATATGAATGGAATGATCTAAGTTAAATACATAACCATAGATGACTGTATTTTAAAGTATAACAAAGTATTATTTAACAAACCAAAATAATCCATTCCCTACAATAGTTCTTTATACAAATTCACTTATGAATGGATCAATGTTAGACCACCATAGAAAACAATAAAGTACTGGACAACCGTTTCGTCCTAGTATGGGACTCCTTGACAATGCGTATCCATGATCCTGCACTCAGGACTCAAACACAAGACCTTCGATTTCGCGCGCAAACATTGATCCATTCATGATATCAATCTAAACTCAATCTCCACAAACCTATACTGATAAATTCATTTATAATTTCCAAATACATGTCAAAACAAGCAAATCGCAGAAATATTTTGGTTATTATCTGCAAAATTAATAGAATACATTTACTTCGAACTAACTAAATTGTATATAATCGAATTATTATTGCTGTATAGTCCTATGAGTTGTAGATTCTTTTAAAATATTAAATTTGAAATAATCAATAAACAGAATAATCTCATCCTGTTTAGATTGATTGAAAACAATAGTAACTAGGTGGATAAATTTAACCTTTGTATCTGCAAAACATTGATGATTAATTCTTAACTATCTTGGTAACGTAAATAAACAATGTGTATCACTTTATTAAAATTTACTCTGCTCTGATTACAATTTAATAAGATTAATTTTTAAACTATTCACTTCTTTTCTATTCAACTTTTATTCTCCAATAATCTGGAAGTATCATTTAAAATATTTGTTGTTTTTATGGAATGAATTGATTGGATGTATGTAGTTACTTTAATAATGATCTAGAGGTTAAGTGGTGATGCGCGAGACCGAAGTCCTTGGTCCGAGTCCCTCGTGTAGGACCGTGAATGGGCACTGCTGAATAGTCCTATGCTAGGAGGAAACTGCCGTCCATTACTTCCAGGTTTTCAATGGTGGTCAAGCCTACATCGACTCATGAATTCATAATCATAATCATCATGTGCTCACTAGTGACTAGCTTCAAGATTATTTCCTGAGGTTCTAGTGAAAAGCCGTGACCTGGGGAGTCCAATACGTGTTGGGTAGAAACATGTATCTACTTCAGATTTTGATAAATACTTTCTTTCTAGAAGCATTTTTTCAAGAAAAAATCGTTTATTAAAAGATTTTGGGAGAAATTATACTTTAATTCAAAAATAAATGATATCAACCTTAATATTGCAGACTAGTTTAGTCAATAATCAGCAATCATTCAAAGATTCCCATTTCAGAAATTTGAACCAACACATATAAGTGAACGAAGTTGTTTTCAATTAGATCGTCATCAGGCTTTACTTTAATAATATACATGAATATATGTATGGGATTTTTTGAGAATCTTCTATACGAACGTCAATACAGTCCTGCTGTACGGAGCTGAAACGTGGAGAACTACTTCCTCCATCGTCAAGATGGTACAAGCATTTATAAATAGTTGTCTGCGCAAAATACTGAACATCCACTGGCCAGATACTATCAGCAACAGCCTTCTGTGGGAGAGGATAAACCAGCTTCCATCTGAAGAGGAAATTAGGAAAATTTGTTGCAAGTAGATCGGGCATACATTAAGGAAATCACAAATTGCATCACGAGGCAGTCCCTAACTTGGAATCCGGAAAGGAAGCGGAAAAGAGGAAGGCCAAAGAACACATTACGCCAGGAGATTGAAGCAGATGTGAAAAGGATGGATGTTGACTAAAAAGAACTGGAAAGGATTGCTTTGGAGAGGGTTGAATGGAGAATACCGGTGTGCGGCCTATGCTCCTCGACGAGGGGTAACAGGCATAAGTAAGTCATATTTGGCCAAGGAAGGTACAAGAATGTCACGAATTTCTTTTGAAAATATATACTAGAGTTATAGATCTGGATTTCCATAGCTTCTACTGTATGCAGAAGACAAGATAGAACCTCATTGGGAAATGACAATAGATCACTCTAAACGATTTGTATTTTACTACGAAGCGTACTATGAGGCGACTAAGCCAGAAAATGAATGAACATCTCTCAGCTTGGTTAGGGAAGTACCAAACAAAGATAATGCATAGCTCTACGTTGGTAAACCATGTTAAGGTTGGTCGTATTGTAGATGTAAACAAATGCTTTAGAGAGAACTACCGCATCCCTTCGTCATTTGACAATGGGGTTTGATCCCGTCCCCTACATATATAGCAATCCAAACTTATAACTTTAGTTTATGCGTCCAGAAAAAACTCATGACACCTTTGTCCTTTCCTTGTCAAAAAATGAATTTATAATTCGAGAAATCTTTTTGTTCACACTAAAAAAACTTAGAAAACTGATGAAAATATTACAACCGATATAGTGGAAAATTTTCTGTATAGGAGTACAAAGAGAAATGCATTTTAATTAGTAAGAAATGAGACCAGAATTAGAGATTCTCTATGTTAATAGTTGTTAAAAGTTTAAGATACTAATTGAAACAAAATTTTCAAAAACTCATCTAGTGTAAAATACTCCCAAAGTTATGTTGTGGTGTATGCTACTTATGTCTGCCAACATAAGTAGTATGTAACCCAAATTAGAAGTCGAATGTTTAGCAGCAGAAGGTTGAAAATATCAAATTGATGAGAACAGGAATATAAACATAGAATAATTTTAATAACAACATAAATGAATGGATGATGAAGTTTGTAAGAGACAATTAATGGAAGATGTGCAAATGATGTATTAATGTATGGTTTTCAAATACATACTGCATTTTTCATTAAACAGTAAACTGGGTTTCTCCACTTCACTTCTCATTCACTACAATGTTATTAATATTATTGGTCAAAGTGTATTCTGATCATTTTCATTTAACCAATTAGTATTCAATTTACAAACGTACACTTTTGTTTTAACATAATTCTAATCATTTAATCCGACACCAGTATTTGAATTATTTAGTTGTGTGTTTTTTTTTGTTAATGTTAATAAGTCTACTCAATGAACGTTCGACTAGATTGTCTAGCCGCCCCTAATAACCTCAGGCTGAATTTACACAGAATCTTGAATCCAAGAGAAAAGTCGCGAAATAATAAGCCAAAGTCTAGTGATACATATTTATTGGACTAACAAAATACACCAAATTTTACATAACTTATTTTTACAGTTAAATTAATAGTCAGATTTGTACCAATTAAACTGAGTTATAAATTCACTTAGTATTGTTTGTCTGAATCTTCCCATTCATGTTTTAGGACTGCATCTGGTCAGTCTCTAATTGTCATACGTGAATACTGTGCGTAATGCCTCGATATAGCCTTAATTAACAAGCGCGTCCTGGATTCCACTGCTAGCACATTATCCATCTTTGCTTAAACTGAGTTATATTTAACAATCATAATTCAATAACTTACTGTATTAACAGATGTTTATAATATTATACAACTAAGTATCTATAATCCTGTAAGATGTGAATACATGCTAAGAACGATTGAAAAAAAAGTCAGTTCCATGTCATTCACATTCTGATTGATCAGTCTATTACTTACTATATCAAATGTAAATTCAAGTTAACTATAATAAGTAAATTTTGATATTTCCCGCACAAGAAAAGTAAACAATTGTGTTAGATATTTTATGAAATGTCAGCTCAATAATCTGAAGGTTCAATCCTGAGTGAAGTCATAAGTGAACACTTATAAGAATTCTTATTTATTGTATAGATCAAATAAATTCACGGACTCATTATTCTATTACTAATCATGGGTTCATAAATAATTTATTTCTAGTAGAATTGTACAGATTTTAATAAACATTTATCAAATGGTTATTATTGATTATTTTAATAAATTACACCAAAAAACTGGAGAATCACGTTTGATATTGTCAACTGTGTACATGATCTATATACGTTTATGAAAATAATATTGGTCATTTTACCTAGTATCCGCCTGGAGACCCTCTGAGGTTACTGCCGATCCCAAGCCCAGATAGAGAAGGAGAGTTGGGCATGGAGTTAGTGATCCAATCCCGTAGAAAACTAACTCGCTAAAAAGAACGCTAACCAGAAAAAACTAATTCAAATAATTTATCTAGTATCCATATCTTTAAAATAGTCTTTAAACATTTCAGTTTACATTCTGTCTAGATTTTTATCTACACTGAAAAATTAATCAGTAAACTGTAAAACATTCATTAAAATGAGTTAAAATTATAATTTACTGTATTTTTCTATCATTCTAAATGCGATTGAATTTTAGTTCTGTTTATTGTTTCTAAAACTAATTCTTAAATTTACTTGGCATTGTTTACTTCAATCTTCCCATTCATGTTTAGGATTGCAATTGATTAGTATCTTATTGGCATAAGTGCATACCTCGATATTGCCTTAAGTCACAAGCAAGTGGCTGTTAGAACTCAGTAGCTGATTGTATAATGCGATGGCTTTTGAAGCGAACGGTACTGGGTTAGAGTTCCAGAGTGAACAGAAACTCTGAGATGTAGGTACATCTAGATGATAAGTCCCAAATAGAATGAAAAGCGCGTCCTGGATTCCACTGCTAACCACTATTCATCCATCTTTGCTTATAAAACCAATTCTTACTAATAGATGCTAGGACACATAAAAAATTAAGGTATCTCCATTTGTTTAACATTGACATATAAATTGCTCGGTTTGTTGTCTTTTTATTTTTAAAACTAAAAACTTTTTATACATCTCTATTAAGTGTACACATTCATTTTTTGATAAATATTATTATTCTCTATTCATCATATGAGGTTACGCAATAATCAGGGGTTTAGAGAAGTGTAGAAGGATGAGAATAATTTACGGATCAGAATTATGAAAGATAATTATCCACTTGATAGATTTCATTTCAAAAGGGGTATTGTGGAGATCTTAGTATTTTTCATACTTGAAATCATGAGTCAGTTGAAGCTAGACCACCATAGAAAACCTGAAAGCACTGGATGGTCGTTTCGTCCTATTATGGAACTCCTCAGCAGTGCGCATCCACGATCCAGCACTGGCGAGGTTCGAACCCAAGACCTACTAGTCTCGCGCCAGAGCACTTAACCACTAGACGATTGAGCCGGCATCCAACGTTGTTAATGTCTAACTTCAACGAATCCACGAAAGTTGAGTAACCGTTCTAGTGTGAAGCAGTGACCAGTGGAGTTCAACCACGTCGGTTGTGAGATAACAACTCACTGAAGACAATTGTTGAACGGTTGCTCAAATTTCGTGGATTCGTTGAAGTTAGACATTAACAACGTTGGATGCGGGCTCAGTGGTCTAGTGGTTAAGTGTTCTGGCACGAGAGTGGGTTCGAATCTCGCGAGTGCGGGATCGTGGATGCGCACTGCTGAAGAGTCCCACAATAGGACGAAACGGCCATCCAATGCTCCCAGGTTTTCGATGGTGGCCTAGCTTCAATTGACTCATGATTTCAGATTTGATTTCCATCTTTCGATTCTTCTCTAACCCCCTGATTATTAGGTAACCTCACATGGTAATTGGAGTTTGGAATAACTTTATGATGTAATCTTTTCTATCCTTCTATAGACACATATTTACCATACAACTATTCTTTATTTCTCTATTGTTTGAAAATAGCTTTCATTTGATTCACATTTATTTAAACTAAGTGATTCAAATAATTTCATTGAATCAAGTTCAAATGAATTACATGATAAAAATGGTAATATAATTAGAAAAATAAATGGACGTTGGAAAGAGCCTGATCAATTTAACATTGAAAATAATATGAATCATAATAATCAGAAATTACAAAATATTCATTATGCATTCATTACAACACTTAGTACATTATTACCAATTATCATTGTTTTAATTATTATCATATCTATCCTTACATTTTATCATATACGTCAACAAAATAGGCCGACATCACAACGTCATAATTGAACTGTGAACATAATGTCTGTGTGTGAATACAGTTTGTTTAAAGTTAACCACTGATAAAGCATAAAAAGTTCAACTGATATATCACATGACATTTTATACGATATTCTTCAAATTGTAGTCAGCTGAGTTGTTCTATTAACTTCTTTTTGTATTCATTAATTCATTTATAAGACAGATACATTTGAATTTATGCTACTTTATCAAATAAAATTCCTGTTCGAAAATGCTATGGTTAAGTTCTTGACGTAATTAGGAGTAAATCGTTTCACTATAGTCAATATTTTGCGAGGATTTGATAGATTTTTTTGAGCTCACCGATCCACGTGACGGAAGAGATATTCAAGTGTCTGTTAAAATTGACAATATTCGCCCTGGGAGTTCCTTGTATGTTGCTATTAAATAGTGAAGTGGTCATGACGAGAGGAAAATATTTACATATTGCTATGTAGTTGGTATTTTACAAATACCAAAATCGTGTAGTGGAAATATTGTGAATACTGTTGAAGTTAAAATGCAAAATTTAAGACAAGTAAATTATTTAGCTTATGAATGTCTTATAAGTAAAATGTTTGAATCATGAACAAACCAATGTACTATGTTGGTCGGGGATTAAGTCGAGAAACCCTTAAATTGGCCAGAAAATATGGGATAATACAATCTAATAAAATCGCCGGTTTGAGGTGCAATGTTACAGAGTGAAATTCTTGGTAGTGTGGAAATTGACCGATTACTAAATAGTGACTAATTTCATGTTCGTCTTGTGTGCTATCAATCAAATTACGATGTGTGCACCAGACTAAGAGTCTGAGCATTGTAAAAAATACTCTTCGAAACAAATTGGTCCCCTCGAATACCTCGCTGATACATCTTTAAATTGTAGAGGTGAGATATACAACATAGGTTTGAACCTCATAGAAAGCATGATTCCCTTCAAGGCTGAAGTTACGTATTGCTGATGCTAGTCAACTAGCACGAAACATAGGTCCAGGACTCTATAATGACTGCCACAAACCACCCTACATCAAGTAAAATCCATCTCAGAATTCGTTGATTATCCATCTGGGCTGTCTAGGTGTGTTCAGACTAATTAGTTGGGATCTGAGTGACAATTGTGATAATCCGTTGGGCAGATCTTACGAGACACGACTTACAACCGGTCATGTTAGCGCATAAACATTTACCTTTAGATTATGAGTTTCAGTATTGTTCATGCTTTTACAACTGTAACATCTGTTTTTAATCTTCCATATTACCATTGATACTACTGTTATATTAAATACTTCACAATGTATTTAGATAATTTGCTTCACGGTAGTGAAGTACTTGAACGCTTCATTTACTTTAGGAGTATCACCAACACTGAAGGTTCGGTGTCTGACGAAATCTTTCTGAGAATTGCAAGAGCTTGGTAGGGTTTAGAAAACTGATGTCACCTATGGCGTAAGAGAGGTGTCCTTGACAATTAAAAACGTGTATACTGTACAGCAGTCCATTATGTATTATTTTATGGCTGCAAACAATGCTTACATTTTGTGGAAATACCGAGTTAATGTTTAGGTTAGGTAAAGAGTGCTAAGCAAAGATGGGAAACTGGTAAATGAGGCAATGAATCTTCGTTGACTGAGGCCTCTGGAAGATGTTAGGTATCCCTAACCACTAAATACCTTGATGGGCAATGTTTCCCGATGTAAAAGTGGGCCGAAAGCTGCAGACGCCTAAGTTATAACATGAACCCATGAGGTCATAGATTGTCCATCTGGTAGATCCAGAAAAGCGATCATTGCATAAAATTGCTCAGAATCCCTCACAATGGTGCACATGTATCTGCCATTCATCTTACCTTCACCCTTGAATTCCAGAACTGCTACATACATACCCATCCAATGTCTTTTTGAACTATATTCGTAATATTGAACCTTTCTCACTATCGGTCTTAGCATATTCCCCCGACCTCTTTTGTTAATCATCTTGTTATGTTTATATGTGAAAATGTAGACCACTGAGCATCTACACCATGCTCTATGTTGGCGATAATTGATTGAACGTATTGTGTCCTACAATGGTTAAGATGAACTCTGATTAATTACCGATTACATACTACTTTTACACAAGTTCTTAGATCAGTATTATTGTTTAGTGATAAATAAACAATTCAAAATAGATGTTATCTTTTAGGAGATACTATCTAGTGATACGATTTAAATGTTAACTGCAAAGTACAAAAATAACAAATAATGATAAGAAAAATTTATTTAATTTTATAAATGACCTTTTTTGTTTACACTGGACGATTATTGTTATTATTTTAAAAGGATAATAGTAGTAAGAACAATAGTAGTAATAATGATAATAGGTAATAAGTAACTTTTCATTGCTCTAAAACGATAAAATAATGAATAGCCTACAAATGAATACACAAACAGAACAAATTTATTCACACAGGAAATGTTCCCAGAATAAACCAGAAACAAGTGAAAATAAACAAATAAAAAAGTAAACAGAGTTATATGTTTCAGTAAATTTGAAAAGAATACGAGAAAATTGATAACAGTACAAACGATAACCACCACCACAACAACAATTAAGTAATCAGCTAACCAATCACTGTCATGAATACAAAAAAATTGATGGCAATTACAATCGTATTAGTGATGGATAGGGGAACAGGATGTTCCATATTGTTTGAATCTGGATTAGAAGTTTTCATCCGAAAAGAATATAATACAATATTCACATAAAAAGAAAAGAAAATACAACATGACGAGAGAGAGAGAAGACCCGGTAAATGAAAAGATGAGGGGAATGCACACGCAAAAAAAAGAAACAAAATCATTGTAAATATGAATATATATTTCTTGGTGAAATCGCACAGCCATTGACAGGTGAAATAAATCAATTAAATTACAAGAGAAAAATTTAACATGTGAACAACTACAGTAGTTATGTGATAGAATATTTATCATTATTATTTTCTTAATTCCATACAATGATGATAATGATCATAAAGAAGAAGATAACAATGAACAACCACATAATGATATGCAATGGGAAAGAATAAAAGATGGTATAGTATTTTCATATGTTCATTTAGACAATATTGTTATGTTAATAAATTTCAACAAAACAGTGAAACAATTCTTCACTAATTGGTTATTAATTTTTATAATTTATATAAACAAACAAAAACTAAAACACAACAAAATAAGTGATTTATTTCAATTGAAACAATAATTATAACAAAACATTACATCAAATTATCACCGTCATCATCATCGTCGCTGTCGTCGTCATCATCGTAGTCGTCGATTGTTCAATCATAAAAAACTTTTATTTTATCAAAAAGGCACTGAATTATTGAATAAATTAATGTTGATATAGATCATATAAGTTGTCCTTTTTCTTTCCTTCGACAAGATTGACAAATGAAAAAAAAGAACTGATGATACATGTTAAAGGTAATGAAATTGGTAGATCGTTTCAAATAAATAAAATAATTAATTGGTTTCCTTCCTTTTTTAAAAAAGAAAAAGAGGACGAAGAAAAAGAATACTAACCCACTTTTATCACAAATTTTATGGAATGTAAATCTAAAGAGAGAATTTTAATTGAAGAAGAAAAAATGAACAACACACACACATGTACATAAACAAGTAGACAAAATGATTACGATGATACATTTTCGAACTTTTCTAATAATAAGAACCTAATAGTGAACAACAATGAAAGATAATTATATAAGAGAAGTGGTTAGGATAAATAAAATTATTGAATCAGAAACATTCAGACATATATATATATATATCCCATCGCTCATATAGATATTTCTTTCTTTGGCACTCCAGCATATTTAAAATGAATAATCTGGTAATCAGCCAAAACAGAAAGATACACATGTAAATTTATACGTTTTTTTATGAAGAATTTTCTATTTTCATACAACTATTGCTACCACCACCAGCATTGGTCATAGGTATAAAGAAGGTCCCACAACGTAGCAGAAAAACACGCATTAAAGCAGCAACTTGTGGTGAAATGCCACCAGCCATTGCAACTAAATCACATAGACCAGGATATAGACAAGTAGCATGTTTATGAAATCTTGATGAAGGTGATAATTGAATTAATTGTGTAATAATTAATACTAAACAAGGATCCCATGCATGTCGATGCCCATCAATAATTAAACCGTGATAATAATGAAAAGCATCCAATATAACATGGTCCAATAATTCATCAGCCTATTCATAAAAAAGGAAGTAAGAAAAGAAGAAAGAAATTAAACGGCTTATTTATTATTTTAGTTTAAAGCAAAAATATAAAGTATTGCTAAGGCATCTCGTATCTAGTGTTTTCAGGTTTTCGACGGTTTTCTAACTTAGATCAATTACGTGATTCCAATGAGATGTAACAACATTCATAATTATAAACTAGCAAACAAATATTTACTTTTTACAAATATAGAGAAAATTATTCTCACAGTTGAAATCATGAGTCAATTGAAGCTAGACCACCATCGAAAACCTAAAAGCACTGGACGGTCGTTTCGTCCTATTGTGGGACTTTTCAGCAGTGCGCATCCACGACCTCGCCTCGCGAGGAGTCCTACAATAGGACGAAACGGCTGTCCAGTGCTTTCAGGTTTTAATTGGTGGTCTAGCTTCAATTGACTCATGCTTTCAACTATGAAAATACTAAATCACCGCAAAACCCCTTCGGAAAATTATTCATTAGATTAATGATTTATCAAAATAGAAGGAAATAATTCTTTGATGACTTTAATCTAACTAGGTCTGATTAGTTGATAAAATCATATTACCTAACTTATAAATTTATTGCTGTTACTTCTAAGGTAATGATTTCACTATTTCATAATTAGGGTTACTTATTAGTTCTACATGAAAAAATTAATTTGATTTTCATGTTGTTACACAAGAGTTGATGAAAGAGTAAATGTGTCAATGATATTAGCAGAAAAGAATAGGTATGGACAAAATGAAAGAATTACTTAATGGAATAAAAATACAATATAACTTCAAAACTCAAGAGTTAACCATTCGTTAAGATAACTATGAAAACCCCAACTATTTACAATATTGTCTTCACACGTACTTTCTGATAAAGTTGCTTGAATAAAGAAAGAAATTGTAACTATACATTGAAGGTAGATGATAAAACTGAAAATTCAACTAAATAACCAATAACTTAATTAACACTTTCAGTACTTCACTTATCAAGTATGGGTTTATATACTTAGCTTTGAGTCACAATTTGTAAATATGAGAAAAAATAACAACACCCAGTTGCGCAAATCGAAGTAGGTGACAGATGGAGAGAGAGGTCAGAACCCGAAGCTAACTGATTGAAAACGTAAATGCTCCGAACATTCAATCACGAAAATTGATGTCAATTTGTTATGACAGGAGAATATGTCTGATAATACACCATACATATACCACATATCAGAAGATCAATAAAAATTGATTAAATCTTTCCAAAAAAATAAAAACAAGTGTCAAACAAGAAATCAATTCAAAAACAGGAAATAGTTTAATGAACAATTATTTTCAATAACTTTGTAGTACCAGTTCATATGTTAGGCCCATATACTTTATTCTAGTTACTGACCAAGCCAATTCACCTGTACATTGAGTCATCTTTTGATCTTGTTAATCATTTGCTTATTAACCTTGAGTACTTTTTATATGAGCGCATATGTGTACACTTCGTATCTTATTCATCATATGTCTGTCACTCATTTTTGCCTGCCTATAAATGTTAGTTAACGCTTGCTTAAAATGAGTTGGCTTCCCAGCCATCTCCAATACGCATCATCTTTGCTTAGCTTGCTTACAGTTGCTCATGTGCTTACAACTTTCTGGTCTGCATCGATTATCAATAAAAATGTAGTTGCCGATTCCCTTTGCCTTCTGATATTATACACCGTTAAGATTGGTATTAATAACGGTTATCGAAGCGAACTATGATCGAAGCACGGCACTACAAAACTGGTAATCCCGACGTACGAACACGCAACACAATTAGCGATCCCGACTTACGAACGCGAAAACATAATTGGATGTCTCGCCGAACGAACATCGACCAGAATCGACAACCTCGACGTACGAACTCACAACATAATTGGCACGCCGTATTTGGAACACGCGACAGAATCGGCAACCGCAACGAGTGAACACAAATCAAAAATGAAACCGCCGACGACATATTTCGTTGATTCTAATAATCATCATATGCTCATTATTACAATAATGTCATATCATCATCTAACGTGGAATTCTTATTTTTGCTCGTATTCACATTAAACTATGACATTCACGCAGTCGAATCACTAATCGAACAAATTATAATTATTTGGACATTACACGTTATCATATTCGAAAATCACTGGATTATTTTTATTATCCAATGACGTACAATTTTCCTGATTCAAGTGAGTTCGTTCCAATTTTTTCATGTCATTTTCGGTCTAATATTACACTCTATCATAGACATAAGTTTGGAGTCACACTCCCGATAGTAGTAACTTATGTTCTCGATAGACAACTAATGTTCATTCATTTCATTGGTACGCAGCAACCGTCGTTTCCTACATTTTCAGCGACAACCTAAACCGAACTTCCGCAATTTTTGTTTCACTATGATCCCTACTTTAATGTCTATACACAAATTAAGTATTCGACGCCGCATTACCAGCCGATTAGTAATGATTATGTTCATATTATCTATTCATTCATATGTATATCTGAATGCTGCATCACCCATTACCGATAATCACAATTCGATTACTACGATTAATATTCTATTCTCAATGCACTGTACGCCAGAACATAGAGTTTAGAGCTAGTCTCTCAAGGATACACTCTTGTTCGTCACATCCAAGTCAGCCTCACTCGCCGCCATCAATAATCATATGTATTGGTATTTTTGTTATGCCTTAATACGGTTTCGTAACAAACGAGGTTGAGCGCATATCCCTCTAACTACACAAACCACGATAGGCTTCATGACCAAAAAGGAATACGACTCCGCATATCTCGTCTCAGCAGTCACTATCCTGTTCCTTTGGTCATTCTACTAATACATATTTAACGATAACTCGACGCAAACGGTAACATACGCTGACTTCGCATTTTATTATCATTATCAGTAGCAGTACAGCAATGAATATCAACCGCTGATGCAGTCATCATCCTACGGCTGGATTATTTTTTATCCCACGTAAACTCCAATCGTGTAAATTCGAATCCACTCATCGCCAATCGACTCTATTTACTCGACTGCAGCTTATCAGAACATATTTCACTGTTATTTATCCTCATATTCAATCAGCACCACAGAGCAATTACTGTTATACTCTATTTTCACTATATTTCAAATCGCTCATACGAACATGTTATTTTATCATTCGGACAGTCACTACATAAATTCATGTTAAATTTTTTCGAACGCTTACTAATGTACTCATAATCACATGCTAGCATCCCTATTTTTGTCCGCACTTTGACAATATTCATGTTCCTTTTTACATAAGTATGACACTTTCGCTTAATACGCTCACCCCTCACATGACACTGTAATTCATCAGGTATTGTACCATTTTTTTCCCACATTTTGACGTTATCCTCATACCGCTTCAGTGTTATTTTTCGAAAATAGACATTTTTTTATAAATGTGCTATTTTCTACAAGGGGGTTATGTAGTACCAGTTCATATGTTAGGCCCATATACTTTATTCTAGTTACTGGCCAAGCCAATTCACCTGTACATTGAGTCATCTTTTGATCTTGTTAATCATTTGCTTATTAACCTTGAGTACTTTTTATATGAGCGCATATGTGTACACTTCGTATCTTATTCATCATATGTCTGTCACTCATTTTTGCCTGCCTATAAATGTTAGTTAACGCTTGCTTAAAATGAGTTGGCTTCCCAGCCATCTCCAATACGCATCATCTTTGCTTAGCTTGCTTACAGTTGCTCATGTGCTTACAACTTTCTGGTCTGCATCGATTATCAATAAAAATGTAGTTGCCGATTCCCTTTGCCTTCTGATATTATACACCGTTAAGATTGGTATTAATAACGGTTATCGAAGCGAACTATGATCGAAGCACGGCACTACAAAACTGGTAATCCCGACGTACGAACACGCAACACAATTAGCGATCCCGACTTACGAACGCGAAAACATAATTGGATGTCTCGCCGAACGAACATCGACCAGAATCGACAACCTCGACGTACGAACTCACAACATAATTGGCACGCCGTATTTGGAACACGCGACAGAATCGGCAACCGCAACGAGTGAACACAAATCAAAAATGAAACCGCCGACGACATATTTCGTTGATTCTAATAATCATCATATGCTCATTATTACAATAATGTCATATCATCATCTAACGTGGAATTCTTATTTTTGCTCGTATTCACATTAAACTATGACATTCACGCAGTCGAATCACTAATCGAACAAATTATAATTATTTGGACATTACACGTTATCATATTCGAAAATCACTGGATTATTTTTATTATCCAATGACGTACAATTTTCCTGATTCAAGTGAGTTCGTTCCAATTTTTTCATGTCATTTTCGGTCTAATATTACACTCTATCATAGACATAAGTTTGGAGTCACACTCCCGATAGTAGTAACTTATGTTCTCGATAGACAACTAATGTTCATTCATTTCATTGGTACGCAGCAACCGTCGTTTCCTACATTTTCAGCGACAACCTAAACCGAACTTCCGCAATTTTTGTTTCACTATGATCCCTACTTTAATGTCTATACACAAATTAAGTATTCGACGCCGCATTACCAGCCGATTAGTAATGATTATGTTCATATTATCTATTCATTCATATGTATATCTGAATGCTGCATCACCCATTACCGATAATCACAATTCGATTACTACGATTAATATTCTATTCTCAATGCACTGTACGCCAGAACATAGAGTTTAGAGCTAGTCTCTCAAGGATACACTCTTGTTCGTCACATCCAAGTCAGCCTCACTCGCCGCCATCAATAATCATATGTATTGGTATTTTTGTTATGCCTTAATACGGTTTCGTAACAAACGAGGTTGAGCGCATATCCCTCTAACTACACAAACCACGATAGGCTTCATGACCAAAAAGGAATACGACTCCGCATATCTCGTCTCAGCAGTCACTATCCTGTTCCTTTGGTCATTCTACTAATACATATTTAACGATAACTCGACGCAAACGGTAACATACGCTGACTTCGCATTTTATTATCATTATCAGTAGCAGTACAGCAATGAATATCAACCGCTGATGCAGTCATCATCCTACGGCTGGATTATTTTTTATCCCACGTAAACTCCAATCGTGTAAATTCGAATCCACTCATCGCCAATCGACTCTATTTACTCGACTGCAGCTTATCAGAACATATTTCACTGTTATTTATCCTCATATTCAATCAGCACCACAGAGCAATTACTGTTATACTCTATTTTCACTATATTTCAAATCGCTCATACGAACATGTTATTTTATCATTCGGACAGTCACTACATAAATTCATGTTAAATTTTTTCGAACGCTTACTAATGTACTCATAATCACATGCTAGCATCCCTATTTTTGTCCGCACTTTGACAATATTCATGTTCCTTTTTACATAAGTATGACACTTTCGCTTAATACGCTCACCCCTCACATGACACTGTAATTCATCAGGTATTGTACCATTTTTTTCCCACATTTTGACGTTATCCTCATACCGCTTCAGTGTTATTTTTCGAAAATAGACATTTTTTTATAAATGTGCTATTTTCTACAAGGGGGTTATGTAGTACCAGTTCATATGTTAGGCCCATATACTTTATTCTAGTTACTGGCCAAGCCAATTCACCTGTACATTGAGTCATCTTTTGATCTTGTTAATCATTTGCTTATTAACCTTGAGTACTTTTTATATGAGCGCATATGTGTACACTTCGTATCTTATTCATCATATGTCTGTCACTCATTTTTGCCTGCCTATAAATGTTAGTTAACGCTTGCTTAAAATGAGTTGGCTTCCCAGCCATCTCCAATACGCATCATCTTTGCTTCGCTTGCTTACAGTTGCTCATGTGCTTACAACTTTCTGGTCTGCATCGATTATCAATAAAAATGTAGTTGCCGATTCCCTTTGCCTTCTGATATTATACACCGTTAAGATTGGTATTAATAACGGTTATCGAAGCGAACTATGATCGAAGCACGGCACTACAACTTCATCATCAGGCTCTACAGTTATGTCAATAATGATTGTGATATTTTACAAAAACCGAAATAAGCCATATATTATGAATTTGATAATGTTGTGTATGTTAAAAATAGTGAACTTTTGCATTTGTTACGACATATATACTTCAAAACTGTATTGTTTGTAAGTTAGAAAGATCAAGGAGAAAGTTTCTCACTATGTATTTTATTCACATGACTTATTGTATTACTATTATATGCATTGTAATATGACACGTTACTTCGAACCATTTTGACCTTTATTAGATGGATTTTCTAATTTAGCAAATAACACAATCTTGGAGTGTTTATGTCGTCACAAATGTAAAATTTCACTATTTTTTAACAAATAACATTGTCGAATTCATTAATTTTATATAGTTGGACAGCCGCCCAGTGTTTCCAGGTTTTCCATGGTGTTCTAGCTTCAATTGACTCATGATCTCAACTATATAAAATCACTAAAATCTCTACAAAACCTCCTTCTGATAAAAATTTATTAATGTATGGTTTATTTTTGGCTTTGTAAAAATATCACAATCATTGTTGACATAACTATAGAGTGTGATGATGAAGTCATTGAAAACAATTGTTCCCTCAACTAATTCTTGTTTTTTGAATTATTCTACGGGAATTTTTTAAAATAAAGAAACTAATTAATTTATTACTCACTTGTTCACGTATATCACTTGCTTCCTCAGCTAAACGAAATAATATACGTAAAGCACATAATAAACTATGTGTTTCTTGTTTTAATAAATTCGGTTTAGCTTTAACTTTGAAACCTAGAATAGAAAATTAAATTAAATTTGGTAAATTATGAAATCATAAATGTTCATTCTCTTAAAAACAAACGAAATAATAATAAAAGCATTAAAAAAACCCGAATGCCCTGGTACGGCCGAGAGTGGAGAGAGTCCGTTCTACCACTCGAAGTGCTCACATGGCCATGCGTATACAACCTCTGCCAGAGAAGTCCTACTCACTGCCTTCTCGTGACAGCGGTGTTGTTTGAAAAATTGAGAGGACGAAAAGCGAATTTCCGGAGCTTTAACAGGGTTGGTGGACACAGTGAGTCCACCTAGGGGAGTTGGAAAACCCTGATTCCAATCCAATGGTGCACATGGGCTCCAGTATCCTGAAGGAACAAATGGCATATGAATCAATCGTTGGTCACCGGCTACCATGGGACTGCATCTCCTCACGATCCTCTACTGCCATGTGGATCAGACCTTTAGGTCAAAGGCTTCGGACGTGGCCCCCCAAGAAAACCACATGCTTCGGTTTGGACACCCGGGCAGTACCACAGCCCTCACACAAATCGAATGAGATTTGTGAGGCGCATATATATCTGGTGCTTCCTTGTACCAATATTTATGTGTTTAAATAAAAAAAATATGATCATAGAATAGTTACAGTTTAATTAGTTTAATTTATGCTGTAATATTTAAAAACCAGGAAAAAAATGGGAATAGAAATGAAATTCTGACAAAAGAGGAAAATTTCTAATCTGTATATTAACATCTTGTTACAAACGATTTATATAACATTTGTTCTATCACTGTGGTTACGTAACGTTTAAATGATCAAAGTGACTATTAGATACAAAAAATCAATTCTTTTCAGACAACAAACAAAAACAAAGGCAGCATACGTAATTGAATAAAAACAATTGATCTTGGGTAAAAGATAGGATTGTACTGTTTTTTTTACAGGTAGTGAACTCCCACCTCTGATTGATAGCTATCAAACTGGTTGTGAAAATGATAAAGTGGTACGACACAAGTAAAATTGTGGTATAGTGAAAAATTACCATTTAGTTAAAAGAATGACTAGTTTTTCATATATATAATTCAAAACAATAAAAGACAGCGTAGTTCTATTGTTCACCTTGTGAACTTTATCAGCTTACTTTTAATCAATAATTAATTAACTAATGAGTAACGCAGTAACGGCATGTAGAATAAATATTTAGTATAACAATAACAATTTTTATTTTACAAGAGATACTGTCAATCAGTTGGTTAATGATTCTGTCTTTTGAAACCTATCTGGTCGGGATTTGGAAATTAGTCCAATGAGTTAATTATACTTTATTACAACTTGATGTGATCTTTATTGTTTAACTATTGTTCAATTAGACTTTTCTATGTAGAGTAAGTGCTAGGACTAATGATTATATTTTGATAACCGAACCATTCATATATTTTTCATAAGACTATTAAAACAGCCATGAAATGTTTAGGAGAACGTAGGACAATAACAAATATCACAAACCAAGCTGGTTAAGAGATTTGATGCCTACTTAAACATCAAAGTACTGTAAGCAGTTAATAAAGTACAGGGACAGCTAAGAGAAAAAGGTGTTAAATTAGTTTTATTAAAACATTTAAAACACTTCAGTGGATGAGTTTGTTGTCCTTGTGAAAAAAAATTTTATTTTAAAAAAGTGGATTCTATGAAACGATTAAACACAATAATTTCAAAATTTAAAATGAATGGTTCAAAAGTTGTTGAACTTCATGCAGAATAGAAGCGTAGTACTTATTGATTGAATTACACTGCTTAATTTCTTCTTAATTAACCAGCATATTTGGTTAATAGTACTCTGATAATTTATAACTTATAAATAACATAAAGTGAGGTAAAATAACAGGCTTCAGCAGTAACATTACTAAACTGTGTGCGTATGTATTCTAAACATGACTGTAATTACTGAAATTAGGCCAAATGGCAGATTGAGTACTAATGGTGAAGTAAACATATTGTGTAGGAGAAAACTTACTAAATAATTGTTTGATTCGAAAAGCTTTACAATGTAGGACAGATAATGCTGTATGCTGTAAGTATCTGTTTTAGTGAAATGTTTCCTTGTTCGATAGAAATAGTGTTTCACTACTTAAATTGGGTACATTCAAGAGTAAGTATACAACGTTTAAAATTTGTTAGAAATACGTTATTATCAATGACAGATTATTATAAAAACATAAAAAAGACTAACCGGCTTGAAACAGAATATTTCGTTGTTCATCATCTGAATTAAATTTTTTAGCGAATGCATGTGAATCTAACAGACATTTTGCCAAAGTAAGACGTTGTTGTGGTGACAAATGAGGATACATACCTCGGGGATCGAACGGTAACGGACTAGCTCCGATTAATTGATTTGTATTATTTAAATTAGTTTCAAAAAAGCATTGAGTACTAGCCTTTTCATCTCCAAGTACATTAAAGTTTTCAGAAGAATCTAAAATGTCTACAACAGAATAAATAGTGGCAAAGTTATATTGAGTTCAACAGAAAATATCCATAAGGCTGAAAAATGAATCGAAAATAAACAATTCGAAATTTCCGACCGATCAAGTCAGAGATAATTTTTGCAATTCAGTTACTTTTTCACTAAACCATGTTTGAGAAGTAAACTATTTTATCTAGAATAAATGAGTACCTAGCCTGAATCTCATTCAAACGATCTAGAGACAATATGTAACAATTCAAATGACTATCAAAATAGTCATTTCTGTATAATCTCACAGAAGCACGATTAAACCTTTTTAAATAGAGAAAAGTACGGTTCATTGGCAAATTTACTTCAATAGTGAAGTATATAATAAGCAGCCATTATTATTATTATTATTTTATAACTTATTTACTCAGTTAATAACAAAATGAATCTAAATATGGACTAGCTTATAAAGTAAATTATTCAATGAAATACATAGATAATGAAAATGTCTAATATAAAGAAAGTTACGCTTGACTACATGATAAACTTAAGAGTTACAGGATCTGGACTGTTTTCCACATAAGTCTAGACGTTATGTTCAATGAACTTCAAAACAAAATGGATTTGGTGTATTCACAGAAGTGAACTCCTTTTACCAAGGATAGCAATGAATGGATGGATTAATTCACTTTTGTTATCATAATAAGCCTACTTAATAAATCGTTGATTATAATTCTACTTTATTTTGTCCAGCTTTGTACTTCAAATATTTCTTACAGTAGTGACTATTGATAATTAGGGTTCTAATATGTGGTTAATATTTTAACAACGAATACAAAAGTAATCCCTAAATAACAGTTTATCATCCTTAATTAGTTCAGAAAAAGTTTGAATGAAAGTACCTTTCAGTTTTCAGACACTGATCCTAATCATAGTTGCTGTAATTGATAATATGAATTTTTATCAGTATGGGAATTTGTGGACATTTTAGCATTTCGACAGTTGAAATCACAAGTCGATGTGAACTAGATCACTATTGAAAACTGGAAGCACCAGACGGCCGTTTCATCCTAGTATGGGACTCTTCAACAGCGCGCAACCAAGATCCCGCACTCGTGACTCGAGCTCAGGACCTACGGTCTTTCACGAAAACACTTAACCTCTAGACCACTGAGCCGGCATCGTGATTTCAGCTGTGAAAATACTACAATCTCCATAAACTCCCATACTGATAATAACCAATTGCTCACTAGCAACTGGCTTCAAGATGTAACCCTAGAAGTTTTAGTGAGAAGCCATGATCAGTGGAGTTCAATCCATGTAGGATGAAAACAGTTATCTACTTCAGGTAATACATGAAGGGTTGCGCAAGATCATGGATTAATCGAACTTCGACATTAACACTGTCGGATCCCGGCTCAGTGATCTGGAAGTTGAGCGTTATCGTGAAAAACCGGAGGTACTGAGCTCTGGTCCCGAGTGCGGGATCGTGGAGGCGCACTGCTGAAGAGTCCCGTACTAGAACGAAACGGCCGTCTGGGATCTAGTTTAGATCGAGTTGTAATTTCAACTGTGAAAATATGGATGTTGTTTTCGGGAAATAAAATTGTGGAAGCAACTGATAATTTATGAGGTGGTTCACCAAACTTATTTAACTAATGAAAACTTTAAGCGGGGGGGGGGGTAACATAAATAAGAAAACACTTACGTAGATCATCTTTATGATTAGTCATAGTTTTGTTTGTACTCGAATAATCATGATTAATAATATCTACTGATATTCTACTTCCTGTATTATTATTACTATTACTATCTTTAGTAAGGAAAGATGGTGAAGTGAATAATGTTGGTTGATTTGATGATGTAGCCGCTTGTAAAGCAACTTCAAATGCTGGATAAGATGCAACGGCTAATCGACGAGCTTCATGTAAATAATGAATATCTTCATTTCTACTATGAGCTGAATAAAATAAAATATGATCAACTGTTTGTATTAATTCATATTGTACTACACATTTATTGAGTAAGTCAGCGAATAAATGTGCTCTAGCAACATGACCAGGTATAGATTTTTGATTGGTATTTACAAATGATGTGGCAATAGTTTGATCATTGATTTCAATTGGCATTTGTTCCTATTTACAATAATGAAAATAAATAAATACATGAAAGTTATTTGGCACTTTACACAAAGCTATGTCCCTAGACATACTCATTTGGATGAAGTGGCACAGTTTGTGTCATGAATACACTGAAGTGTTTCTAAACAGAGTGTGTATGCAAATAGTGTACCATTACTAGTATTTGATGCAGTAAGAAAACTGTACGTTTTTTAATGGTTGAAGCATTCACTTTGAAATCGCTAGATCGCGAGTTCGAACCTCGTCATACCTATTCAGGTTTGAGCAGCATTCGCACCTAATAAGACTATGATTAAAAATTGAGTAAACAAACCTATATACTTGATAGACAAATTAGGAAAGACATTTTAGGTATTACAAAAATCTGTCACCAACTTAAAAAGTCTACTTTCATCATTTAGAAAAATGCTTATTTGATGGCAAAGTTGTTTGATAGTTTCCTAAATTATATCACATGATAATTACCATGACTAAATACAAATAACCGCCTGCTTGGTGGATAATATTCCAACTTTGTATTTTACAACATAATTTATAGTAGACAAAAGAAACTTAGTTTCATCTTGACAGTATGTTAAGATGTCATGTACAGAAAAACATTTTGTTACGCATATTTTCTTAAAAGCAGTATTCGCTAGTAGGTTGGATTTAGTCTGAAAGTCTCTAACTCAAGGATAACTATACAAAAGAGTGACGAATATTCGAAAAACATAACTGAGCATTGAGAAATTGAAGCCCAATAGACTAGTACCATGAACTAGTCCACGTTCTAGTCCAAGAACTTTTCAAATTCAAAATTGCTCGTTGGAAATCAAACCCATGCTCTTGGAACTTAACACGTTCGATAGAACGAGTAAAAGTGCCGACAAAACTAGAAAGCAGATGAATTTCATCACAAGACAGTTGAGATTAAAAAATCAGTTGAATCTAACCCATCACTATTCTTGTCAATAAAGATGAATGTCCCAAATTAGGCTGTTAAAAGGAACCTAATGGGAATAACGACAACTTTCCAGTGCTTCTTATTCGATAACTCATTAAATTTACATCAAATTATAACAAGATAATTAAAAAAATTACAATTTCCAACCTACTTATCCGATTTGAAAATTAATTTGACAATATTGAATAATATTAGATTAAACGTATTACTAACAATAATAATTTGAATAATGATTTACACTTACTGGACGCCATGTTAACAATTGATGGGGTACTGTAGATTTGAAAAGATCAACAATTAAATTTACTGTTGATTCCCAAATTTTATCATTGAATCGTTTACCACTAGATAAAATTAAGGTTTCCAAACAACTTGTTCCAGAACGAGCCAACTGTTCATGTTCTTGTAAACAGCACCATCGAAGTTGTTGGTAAATATCATCTACAGTAAATAAAATACCGATTAACTATTAAATCAACCAACCTGTTATTTAATGGAATTTAGCTTAAAAAGAACGGTACATTCATTTTGTATCAGTTATATTATCATTGAAGCTCATTTTCACAAGTGAAATGATCGGTAAAACTATATGAAACGGACTGTACGTGATATCATTTTTAAGTTAGCATTTCTGGGGACCTAGTGAATCAGATATGTATTGGGAAACAACTTAAACTGGTCAGATCAGAACACGGCATCAATCCATGAAGTTCTTGACTAATGACCTGAGCACACTAGATGATACGGTAAAAATTCAATAGTAATGGTACAGATGAATCCATCTTTTGTACATTAATATAGCAAATGTTATGTTACAGGGGCATTCAGTCGATTCGGGAAAACAATTAGGCAGAAGAAAAGTTAGGACTCTACTCAATATAACACATTTTGAAAATGTGATTTTTGTTTTTATTTAAATTCAGTGAAAGTAACACTTTAGCACTGTATAGTAGTGAATGAAACTAATGTTATTCAAGAATGTTCAATAATTTATCAGAAAGAGATTTCCCGTCTTTAATACTTCAATGACGGGAAATTATACATATTTAGTTTCTATGTTATACTACTATGATACGATAATATGGCCGGTGTCAAATATTATGCTACCACTAGACTAAATACTCGGTCGATGCGCTACATAAAGACTGGACTACATTGTTCTGGATACACGATTCACAACGAAATACCTTATTCGAAACAATTACAAGCTGTCTACATCCGGTGATTTCAGGATAGAAATAAATATCAGGAAGAAATCAGTAAGCTGAGTGCCTGTTTGCCCACTCTCAGTCCACAATCACTTCCAGTACACAAACTGTCACGAAAAGTTACAAAAAAACGGGAAATGTAAAGGTACAAGTAACTCAAAAATTACGCAAGTCAACAGTAGGATCATTAAATTGTAAACGTCAAGTACAGTCAATTAGAGTATCGATTTACTGTAATAAGGCACATAATTGACTCAATTCACATTGGTTTCTTAATTGTTATATTTGTACATGAAATCAATATACAAAGTGAGCACCTTAATATGTGCTTGGAAAGTCACACCTAATAACTACATTAAAAACATTGCAAGCAAAAGAATTTAGTTTTCTATAAACTATACCTAACTAATAAAACAATTACAATTCCTGCACAATGATCACCTTGAAGTATGTTTTTTTATCCACAAACCTTAGCTTAAACTGCGTATCAAACTGAAACAGTAAATGACTTAAACTTCCTTTTATTGCCCCGTATTGACTTAAATACATTTTCAAAAAATATTTACTCTAACACAGTGAACTTGCATCAATGATTAAATATTTTTCGTGTACTATAGACTAAATTATCTGTTACGATGATATTAAGTGCCAGTTATTTACTGAGATGTCTTTCGAAAAGATGTGTGTAGTTCAAAGATAGTTACCATGATAAACCGAGATCTGTTGAGGAACTATTAACAAAAATAAGAAAGTTGGTGGTTTTTTCTATTTGGAAACGTTGCAAATATGTGCCCTCACGACCTTCTAGGCTGGACTGAGGATAGGATTTAACAGGTCTGGCAAAGTGTGTACAATGCCTTTACACAACTTAATCACAACGTAGTGATCCGTATGTTTATCTTTAGTCAGTTTATTACAAAGTACAATTAATATGAAAACCCTTTGTAGCCCAAGTATCTGACTCCGGTTTGACCCTAGGGTAAGCAATACACACATACGCTCATATAAAAACAGTCAGGGTTAATAAGCGAATAATTAACAAGGTCAAAGTGAAGCTTGAAAAGAATGAATACATTGGTCTCTCTGGAAGCTATAAATTTGGGCTTGATAAGGAACTAGACACTACAAACTTACATATGTTATAACAGTTAGTTCAAATGAAATATGCTGAAGTGATCTAGATCACAAATTATATATTGTGGAATCGAATGATTTCACTAACCTAGTGTTTTAATATCCAATGCTTAGCAATGGATTGTTTTGATAATAATTCTATCTACTTATCAGCTGGTCAGTGGAGTGGGAGATTAGATCATATAATGAAAGCGAATAACAGATATTCAGTACTGTAAAATTAAATGGTTATATATTGCCGGTGGGAAAAACTCGCAAGCCTGTTCGGAAAATTTTTTTTTGTATGATCAATGGCGTTAATAATAAAAAAACATTCAACAATAAGAATATATATATATATATATATATATATATATATAAGTACTGTATTTTCAAGAATATAATGAAAATCATTGTCGTACCTAAAAGAATATCATGTAACACATCATAAAATTGAGTGAATATATCCACAACAGAAAATAACGTATGATTGCAAGTTGTATTCATCCATTCAGTACGTTCCATATTTGAAAGAGCCTGATGATGAATACCCCCATTATTGATTGTAGCTTGTTCATTCCATGTATTCGAGTATGGCGCTGTTTTTACTGAAGAAATATGATCGACTGTTTCCGGATCAATATTTATCACGGTATTGTTATATTCTGATGATGCTGAAGAGATTCGGAAATGTTGAAAAACTCGGAAGATGACAGCAAATGTTTCACGCCACCACAATGGTTTAAATTTATTGCCGTGTGATTTTAATATATCGAAAAACACAGTAAGGCCACGAGTGCGTACGTCTAATTTACAACTAAGGAAAACATAAAGGCATAAAACACAGTAATACACTTATTGTTTTTTATAAGAAAAAAAGAGGAAAAAAACAAGCCGGTAAATATTGTGTAATACAAATAACTGTAAAGTTCTGACAATGACATACTGCATAATACAGTAGTATGTGAAAAACAAGGATTGAGAGTTTGATTCATTCATTGGTCAAAATACATGTTTACATCATTTACAAAAGTAGACCCATGACTATTCTTAATAGCCAGGAAGCAGAATGGATGGAAAGATTAGCACAATATTAATCATGAGCAAATCAAGTGAGATCTTTTTCGGGTAGAATAAACGTGCAAAATAATGTCAGGTTCATCAAAGGAAGACAATACTGTATTGAAATATCAGAGCATAAACCCCAGTTAAAACGAGAACAAAAATGTTAGAAAAATAAAGAACAAAATATTTAGTTAAAGAAACTAAAAAATGTTCTAGCAAAAATTGATCACATACACGTAACATTAAAAATTGGTCGGTTTTATAGTCTATATCATGAACTGACCTTAGTTAGACAACTATATTTAAAACTGAGAAACACTGAATATTTGATTCATCTCAGTATAGGACTCCTCATTAGTGCGCATTTATGACCTCATCGGGAATCCAGCCAAGGAAAATTTGGTCATTTGTCAAGTCCCAAACCTTTAAATTGTTTGAGTTTGGATCCAATGGTTTATATTTTTAACTTCACTCAATTAGCGATATTGCTCAACCGTCATTCATTTCCATTAGTGGCTAACTATCTGCGGTATTTGTATATAACGATCGTTACTTTGTACATGATTTTGAGCCTTATTCGAATTACGAATACATTACCTTAGTGTGCTCACTGCTTTTTCTTTGACTTGAGTCCTGAGGTTTGACAGTTCGCATACAAAACTCAATTCTACCACTCATACGTTTTAGACTGTCTCCCTTTCGGCATGTTCAAGTTCGACTAACTACAGCTTATCACTAGGACTCGGGAAATTAGCTCTAAAAACTAATGATTATTAGGACAAATAGTTTGTTAAGTGTTGAACAATTTATTACAAAAAAGAGTAAATTACAAATAGATAAATAAATAACATACCCATTTATTATACGAAATAGTTCACATAGTACGGGCATCCAACCTCTTAACCAAATTTGATCATCTTCAGGTAATAAATATACATATTTCAAGTCAGAATTAGGTAATTCCATCGAATTATTATTTACAATAGGAAATTCGGGATTTTGTAAACCGATAAACACTGTTTCATTTTCAGCTACTGTACATGCACAAATACGAATTAAACGAATACTTTCCATAGCTGTGTCAGGAAATCGAGGATTACATGCAAATTCAGCTAATGCTTTTACTAAAGGCTAAAAATTGTATACAAAACATACAGAAAAAAGAACAAATAAAAAGGAATCAAAGCGCGGCTTATTAATCTTTTTTCTAAAAAAGACGTTGGTTTGAAAAACGATAGTCTGAACACATATTTAATCAATGACTTGAATGGATACACCATAAGTAACTAAATGATAAGTTATCTACAAAATTTAATATCATTCAACCAACTAACTGAACGTTTCTAATCACCCAATTCAGCTAACACGTTGAACGTCTGACAAATTAGTTACAAATATGAATTCGCTTATCTTGAAATTGTGTACAAAAGACAAATTGATTACAAAAAAACCTCACCATCTTCAAGTACAGAATGACAGATTTTTTAAATAAAATTCTGTAGAAGAAAAAACAGAAGAGTATTAAAAGCTATCTGACAATAATGTGATTATCTTTTCCGCTTCAGCCAGTATATTTCGACAACTATGGAGTTATTCCTCTAGGTGAATTGATAATTACTGGTCAATCCATTGTTTTGCACATTTGAATTTCAGTCACTTTTGATTTATTATCAGCGCTGGAATTTGTGGAGGTTGTGGTATTTTCACTGTTAATTCACAAGTTGATCTAAGCTAGAGGATTCTAGTCCGTGTAGGATAGAAACAGTGATCTACTTCAGGTAGTACATGAAGGGTTGCGCAAGATCATGGATTGATTGAAGTTAGACATTACCACTGTCGGATCCCAGCTCAGTGATCTAGAAGTTGAGCGTTATCGTGAAAAACCGGAGGTACTGAGCTCGGGTCACGAGTGGGAGTCGTGGATGCGCACTGGTGAAGTGACTCGTACTACGACGAAACGGCCGTCTAGTGCTTGCAGTTTTCAATAGTGATCTAGTTTATATGGACTTGCAATTTCAACTGTCAAAATTCTGATTTTTTTTTTCAAAAAAAGTAGAAACCAAAAGCAGGTAACGAACACAAACTGTGAACAGATACGTTAACTACATTTGCACATCAGTCAAATGAACAAATAATACAATGGTTCCGATAAGTATAAAACAAATTAAACAGTTGAATTGTTTGTTATAAATTCACACGTAATTAATCTTACCATGTATTTTAAAATATCAAAATATCATGATTATGAAATGTATAAACAACGAATATGAATATTAACCTTTAGCCTACTATACAGTGATTTTTATATGTATTATTTTTTTAAGAAAGTAAATCAATCTATCTACCTGAAAAGCATCAACAACAATACGTAAATGTTCTTTGAAAACAGTTTTCACAGTAAAATGACAAGTTTCAAATGCCATATCAACTATTGCTTCATTTAAAGATGATGCTATTAAGTGTAGAACAGCAAAAATATTTGTCCATCCAGAACGTATATTGGAATATTGTGAATGAACCAATTGATAAATACACCGAACTATCATATCTTGAACTTTATGACTGACATTTGGTTCAGTTTCCAGTATATTTACAAAAGGACTAAAATATATTTAAAAAAAAATAAAGTGAACAAATGATAAATATAAGTACCGATAAAACATTTATGTGAGAAAATTTTCAATAATTTCATTAATGTTATAGAGTCGAGATCATGAGTCAATTGAGTCAATTCACAAATAAAAACTAATTTACATTGACATCTTTGTCTTCAATGATTTGCATAGTTGAAATCATGAGTCAATTGAAGCTAGACCATCATCGAAAACCTGGAAGCACTGGACGGCCGTTTCACCCTATTATGGGACTCCTCAGCAGTGCGCATCCACGATCCCGCATTCGCGAGATTCGAACCCAGGACCTACCAGTCTCGCGCCAGAGCACTTAACCGACAGATTACTGAGCCGGCGATAACCCCTTCTGATAATTTCATTAATGATAAAATAGTCTGCTATATATCAGTTTGTTTTCATTGAATCAAGTAAGATATTGAATAATCATTGTATAGGTAATAAATATTTGTTAACTAGCAATAACAACTAAGCATATTGCTTGCTTGCGCCCTTGAAAAAGAAAAAATTACCTAACTGTTAGAAATGAGTTAGGCAATGTCCAGAAAAATCCTTTAACCCTACGGTAACCAAAATTAAGTTTATAATATCACAGGCGGATTTTAAAGAGAAAAACGGGACAGGAAGATGATTTGTGCCAAGAATTGACATCAATAGAAAAGCCATAAAGAATCGAAAGAGCACTAAACAGTCGTTTCAAACAAGCCAACTGCTCCTACTAAACAACAAGCAAGTATGACCCAATAAAGGAACGATTCCAGAGCTCTCCTATTTCATTGTTACTGTATTATATTTGCACTCGTGATTTGGAATCCAATCGTTTATATTCTTAACTTTAGATGATTTATGGTAAATTACGTATTTAGATGATGATTAAATGAATTTTCATTGCTAGTCACTATGAATGGTACTATAGTAATGCTATTTTATAATCCTTTGAGATAAAATTTGTCGTGCGGATATATATATATATATATATATATATATATATATATATAGAGAGAGAGAGAGAGAGAGAGATGCTAAAATGTCCCTTATTGATAATTCGACAATCAAATTTTACAAAAATAGGCGTTAAACATATCTTTAATCTATCATTGCCAAGGACGAACATGACAGATGTCAGCTGACATAAAAGTTGTAGCAAAACAATTTCTAGATAAAAGATGAACTATGCAAGAAAACAAATACACAATATCCGGTTTATCAAAGAAATTACATAGTAACAAAATCTTAATACAGAAACTGAAAAACAAAATGGAGCAATTTTAACATTTCAGTGTCGTATGAACGTGACTTACATTCGAGAAAAAAGAATAATAACACAGATATTGATTTGTACAAAAGATCACATGTTAAAAACAAGTGACATTGGATGTATTTAAAATTAGATAATTACTTAGTGTCATTGTTAGCAATTTCTTTTTAGCACAAAAAAACACCATTCAGATTAAACTACAAACTTTTTAAACATGATTTGAGGTCAGAAGTTTAAATGATAAGTTCGTGGTCAGTTTTTTGATCAAGTTTTAATTGTTTTAAAATATTTATAAACAAATGAAATTATCCCAAATAATTTTATATGTTCCAGTCAGGTGATTGCTAGTAGACAGCTAAATTTGTTTTATACTCAAACAAGAAGATAAATAAATGAAGAATGATATACTTACTAATTATGCTATTCAATTGTGTCTAAATGCATGATGAGAAAAACAAATGACCAAATTTCAAGGGACTCTTACTTGGTCAACTTTAGAACTAATAAGACAATAATCATATCTCTTAAGAGATGATAGAATATTTATTTGGCTGAGGTTATCCCTAACTTTTTTAATATACAATAGGTGTGTTTTATCTAGTGCTTTCGGTCAATGCTCCTCTACGAGAAGTAACAGATGTACGTAAGTAAGCCTGTATATTCATTGGTATAGCGAATAGATAATGACTGATCATTATTGTTCGTGTAGCGATGTGTGTGCGGCCTATGCTCCTCCACGAGGGGTAACAGGCATTGCCTACTAGTAGCGATGAAAGGTACAGTGCATATTTCATAACGCGAAGAAAGCTGAATTTTATAACTAAACTATTTTATTCAAAGGATATGAAATTATCAATATTATGCAGATATATTAGTTAAAGTGAAATAAATTTTAATTAGAAAATCAGTGCAATTCAAAGAACATTAAATAACTATTTCGTGTTGGTGTTTTGAACTCTACAGTATTGTCTATACATAAAATCATTAATGACTGAAGATAGAAAAGCTGATATTAATGTTTGTGATGTAAGACTAATTACAAAAAAGGAACAATAGCCATCAAATTTTTGCTTTATTGACAAAAAGAATTTATATTTACTATTTAATTAATAAGCTGCTTACCGAAGAAATTCTTTTTGGAAGTGAAAATTAGGCAATTCACCTTTTTCTATTAATTTTACTGATAATTGACGTAAAGAATCAACAACAAACTCAGCAACATCTTCATCAACTGATCGACCAGCTGTAGTAAAATGACTACCAATATGTTCCCAAATACGTGACCATTGTAATCGAATACGACCCATATTATAATATGAAATTTCAACAACTTTCTGAAGTGAGAATGTTCTTGCTTGTGGAAGATTTAATTCCTCCTGACTAACCTATGACCATAGGGTAATAAGAAATAAACACTATATATATTGATGAAATGTAGTGTACAGTATATCTGGAAATATTGACATATTGAAGTCGGTTATTTGTGTTTAGGTTTGGATAAAGATCTGATTGACTTTTCAACAGCAGACTGACAAGTATTTTTTGAGGAGAACCGATGGTTAAAGACCTTGAATGACATGGCTCAAAATCGTTTGCAATGGCGAAGGTGCATACACTCTTTGTGTTCTACCAAATTCTAATCTGAATTCTTCATGTCTGTATCCTTTTTCTCTTTCCAAATTTATTTCATTGTATTATACTCCTTCAATAACATCTTCAAACCCTAATCTTTCCGATTACTGCTTATACTCTTACTACTTCTACCATTATGGGATTTGAATAGACAACTTCATCTCTGTGCTAATGTGGTATGGCAACTCGAACTGATGTACGTACGTACGAAGTTCTACGTTGTAACTGACTGACTGAATAACTGTAGGATGCATAACAGATGAGGAGGTATTTTACTATTACCACATTAGATTACAATACGATCAAAAACTTCCCTGGCAGAATTTAAATCGAAACTTAACAACTTAAGTTATGAAAGTTAGTTTTTATCAAACCGGTTTAAATCCGATCTTCAGGGCATGATGCTATCTCATGGAAGCAATTCAGCTAGTGTAAAAACCAAAAGTGCTTAGATAAAAAGCGTATGATCACGTAATTCAAGGCGAATCCTTTAGTTAGTTTTAAGATCACTATTTACAAAGAACAAAAAAACTGAAGGGTGCTTTTAACGATGAAGTTCTGGCGAGTCACGAAATACTAAAAAAATGTTCTCAGTAAAATAGAAATAATCAGACAATGGTAAGTTCAAAACACAAATATATTTTTCAGAAAAAGACATCATATACTATATCATATTTTATGGTGGAGTGATGGCTATGTGATTATGGCATTCAACTTTTAAACGTGAAGTTCATGGTTCGAGCCCCGAACTTCGCCTTCTTCAGTTTGACCAATCAGATATTAATATTACTAGCCGTCACATTTAAACCGGTTTACTCCTTAGCACCCGAGTAAGTAAATTAATTTAAACTTAAACTATCTCTATAATACTAGAAAAGTTAAAAAAAATTATTTATAAACTTACTTGACATAAAGCCTTTACAAATTCTACAATAGCATCACCATTTAAACGAATTGATCCTGTGAAAATTTTATCAACAGCAACAACGACACTCTGTGATCCAGTCTCTCCCATTACTTCTTGTAAAACAGCAGCTTTTTTAGAGTCGACAATAGAAGCCGCTAAACTACCTGGTGCTACAGGTTCATTTAAATTAGAACTTACAAAATGATTAGATGTAACTATTGGACTAGATGCTACTAAAGTATTTGATTTAATAGAACTATTTTCTGTTGTTAATGAAGTAACCGTAGATAATTCATTTGTATTTTGGTTGTAAGAATTGTTATATGAATCTAAAACGAATCAATATTTAAATTGTATAGCTCAATGCATTCTATTAAATGAAAATATGAAAAACGAATATTTTTTATTTAGAAAAACAGTGGATCAAAAGAATTTGGAGTACTTTCAGAAGTTAATGAGAAATAAGTTGTTTCTATTCAAAATTAATAATCACATATTTGCCCCCAAATGCCCTGGTACGGCCGAGATTGGAGAGAGTCCGTTCTACCACTCGAAGTGCTCACATGGCCATGCATATATAGCCTCCGTCAGGGAAGTTCTACTTATTGCCTTCTCGTGACAGCGGTGTTGTTTGAAAAATTGAGAGGACGAAAAGCGAATTTCCGGAGCTTTAACAGGGTTGGTGGACACAGTGAGTCCACCTAGGGGAGTTGGAAAACCCTGATTCCAATCCAATGGTGCACATGGGCTCCAGTATCCTGAAGGAACAAATGGCATATGAATCAATCGTTGGTCACCGGCTACCATGGGACTGCATCTCCTCACGATCCTCTACTGCCATGTGGATCAGACCTTTAGGTCAAAGGCTTCGGACGTGGCCCCCCAAGAAAACCACATGCTTCGGTTTGGACACCCGGGCAGTACCACAGCCCTCACACAAATCGAATGAGATTTGTGAGGCGCATATATATCTGGTGCTCTTATGTACCAATATTTATGTGTGTTTACACATTTAAACACATACAACCGTGTATTCAAGCTCATCAATTCTTACAAATAGTACTCAGAATCCAGTAGTTTAGATTATTATTCTAGTAAACACATGCTCTATAGCTTGAAATATAAGAACAATATAAATTGTATTTTTCAAAAAAACTGAATGACAATTGCGCTGAATTACCAAAAAAAAAATTATCTCAACTATTTCAAATATGGACTGTTGGATTCTAAGCCTGTGCCAGAATGTTAACATATTTATTGTGATTTTTTATGACACTGAGTTCAGTTTTGTGCAGCTAAGGATATGTATTTTGTTGTAGGACTGATTGCGCGTGGAGCTTTCATCGTCCTTCCCAACGACATCATCAGCACAAACTTCGGGTGGAAGTCTACCCGGGTAGACTTCCACCCGAAGTTTGTGCTGATGATGTCGTTGGGAAGGACGATGAAAGCTCCACGACCAAACCACCCAGCTCAGAGAACAAACCAACATCAAAATCACCCACCTGAGCTACAAATCTTCTCCACCATCTCAAAATCATACGACTGATTGCGCACTAAGAAAGAGATAGCTGTTCGATATAAGATGACGTTTATTGTTCATTCAAGTAACATTAGACAGTGACAAAATTTAGTGTGAAAGAAATTGAATACCGTAAAATAGATACTTCAGCTTGGTATCCGTTGGAATTAGGAAATTCAATCCTTGAAAAAGGAAGTAACTATTTAATGGCTACTCTAGATCTTGGAAAGATATTTCCACAAAATCATATAATCAGCAAAGGATAATTATAGTAGGAAAACTGCATCTTTCAAGCAACACGTATCATCAAACTTCCAAGTTTATTGAGGTATTCCAAATTGGAACACAACATCTCTCAAGTGCTACTGTGGTGTGGGTTACTTATATCCACATAAGTAGTATATGGTGGTAGTCAGGCATAGAATGTATTTCACTAGATTGATAAGGAAAGAACCGAAACGAAACGCGCTTGGTATGAAAATGCATGAACAATGAAATCAGAGAAGATGGACTGATATTTGCTGAAGGAGCAGTCAAGATTGAGACAATGGACTGTTATTTTGCAAACTAACTGTTTACTGTATGGTTGTCAGATTTTAGTGAGATAGTTTGTAATTTTCGTATCAAATACATTCGATTGTCTCCACCCGTGTTTTTGTTCACTACACTACCACCTTTTCCGTAGTTTTCTAAACGTTAAATCAAATTTATATGCATCGTTATTCTACGAATAAACTAGAAAACTAGATTGGACAAAATTAGTTTAAATAGCAAATATTTAGTTAATAATTACTTTGATCAACAAAAAAGACGAATACATATAATCTGGAATAATCTTGTTCTTAATAAGCTTTCAAAGCGTTTCCGCTTCGGGAAAAATAATCGATGTTATCAGTCACTAGTATCATTGATTTACAATAATTGTACTGGGTTAATCTATTTGTATCGATTGATTCAAAATAAGTTCAGAAATTATATATATATATATATATATATATATATATATATATATATATATATATATATATATATATATATATATATGTTTGACAATGGTTTATTTTAACTAAATTGATCATTATTTAGAGTAACTGTTGCAAAAAAAGAAAATCACCTGATTCTAACCAAAATGACCAATGCTAGAAAGAAGACAATAGCTTATTATTAGTAGTAAATACATTGGTTTAGTTCATATTAATTAAATTCTTAAATGTCATTCTTAAACTCCTTAATGTGAAGCTATTAGTATATTTTGCAAGCCAATGCATATTATTATTATTATTCCAAAGACAACCATAGTCATCTAAATTGTACGCTTGAAGATCACTTAAAATGAATACATTTTTACCACTGTAATTTCCTATTAGCTTTATTTAAAACTATCAAATGAATATACATTTGAAAAAAATTGAGAATAGCCTATGCTTTCTTTTGTTTGATGCACAAGTAAAACGGAGCACTTTAATAAATATTTATAAAGAATGCTGTGATATATCAAAGTTTACATGCCCTTCAAACATTTACGTTTTATTATCCAGTATGAATTTTTAGTAATTAAGAAGTATCAATAAATTCATTTCTTTTCAGTTTATATTTGAACTTTTAAAGTAGACGACAATACCAAGAAACATAATTTTGTGGATCAATAGGTTCATTGTAATCGTATTCACAACGTCTACGGTATGTACTTATTAGAACCTACAATTTCGAGTATCTAATAATGCATTAAAAATTTCATCTCTTCAGTAATCTGTAACAGAGACCGCTGAAGTGGTGGTAATTCAGTTGATGTTACTATCTTGAAACACCGATTTTGATGGTTTGAATATGTGACACGAATGTCGTCTCAGCGAATTCCAAATAGTGCTTCATTTATGGACACAGACTGGTTAGAAATAGGGGATAAGTGATAAAACTATGAAATGGTCCCGGAGTATGGAAAAAATCTGTACAAAACTGGTATCTATCAGTTCATCATAATTGGCTAATTGGGGTCCTAGAGAGTGGAGTGGGGTTCAAAATGATGACTTATTGATTGAAGGATGAGTGTATTAACGACCAAGACACCTCCCTATAGAACATAATTTGGCAATAAAGTAGATAACATATCTCAAAAAAACATAAACGACTATAAAATAGTTTTTATTTTGCATTAAGTAGACAGGAAATACATAGCAACTAACCATTTAAGTTGAAGGTCACAAACGTAAAAATATGATTTGAAATAAATTATTTTTTAACAAATGGGCATCAGTCCTTAACGATTTATGGGAAGAGTACATCACAAGCATTAAAGAGATACTTCCAACTTTGTATACAAAAACAACAATAGATACAAACAACTAGTAGTATGGTGAACAAACCGTGTTGTTGTAAACAATAAAAACCAGTTGTCATGGCTCTCAAAAATTAGCGAAATTTATATTAATCAATGAAAGAGAAAAAACCATGGTGATATATATAGATATTCAAAAGTAGCTGTGAACTAGAGTTGTAAACAACATAGAAAATATTTATTTAGAAGAATCAAGTTTCCCGGTAAACACAAAAAATAGCAACAGTTCTGCATTCTGCTAATCAAGAACCAAAATATGAAATCATCTATAATAACTGTCGTCAGGACGAGTAAATATTTGTGTAAAAATTAAGCACTGAGTACACAAAGGACAGTAAATAGTTACTATCCATCTAAAAATTATTTGCTTCATTAGGTGCGTTATCAGTATGTAATGTGAAACGCTGTGGATGGTAGAATCAGCTAAGTACTTAACTAAATATTCTATGGCTCATAGGTTCCTTATTATAATGGGATTTAATGAAGTAGGCAGTGGATGATACATGGTATACAGAGGACGACGACACAAATTGATATACAAGACTCTACTTGGAATCCATGATGTGATTACAGGAATATTCAGTCCAAGAAATATTGATAATAGTCTGTCCATAAATAAAATATCTACCGTCACTATCTGACCTAATCAACAGTTTTATTCATGAAGATCTCATCAATTGGTAATGAGTAAACTTGAAAGCACAATGATTAGCGTAATACAAGTATAGAATTATACTGAACTTCAAATAAAATGGGAATGAACAGGTCAATTCAATGTCTATTCTATGTATTCAGAAGTATGGTTGATTTACATCCAGAGACCATTTAATGAAGAGAAATTAATTTATGTAAACTTACTGAAATGTGTTGAACGGTTAACAGTATGTGGATTGTTTGTATTTAATCCATTTGTCGATGAAATCGCATGAGTAATTAAATGCGCTGATTCCAGTTGAGATATACACCGTAGAATTTCTAACCATGCACGTCCTAAATAATTACCATCCGTTTGAGCAACTGTAATCAATGTACGTATTGTATCAATATTTTTCTGTTTCATCGCTTCCGGAGTAGATAAAGCAGGATTAGTAGTTGATCCTAATGCATTTGTATAAGCATTGCTAAGTGTAGACGATGCATTCGTATTAATCTTCTCAGATCGTGGACGACGAGAATTAATATTCTGATTGTTACTTCCATTTATACCTGATGAATTTCCAATTGTAATAGTAGGATTTACATGTGATGTTGTTAATAATAGTGTGAACCGTGCTAGTGCTTGTACATAAGCATCTCGTTCTAATTCCATATGAAATATACATGCTATACGTATGGCATATCGAATACCTTCTAAGCACAGATGATTTACATCCATTGCGTCAGAATCCTATTGGAAACAAGGATATTTTGAAAGAATTATATATATAACAATACAAACGCTGAAAATTAAGACAATAGGCCACGGGTTAAAGTTGAAAAGTCTAAAATGACTGAGACTAACTGTGTCTGAAACGACAAGGTCACATTCTTTTTGAGTGCGAGCTAGTGAAACTAATCGGCCGCGAAAAATAGACAGAGTATAATATAACCTTGTAACATGGGTTGAAAGTTGAGTATCTTAACTACTGAGTAAGCGCTTGATAATACTATCATTTTAGCCTTTGAAATAGCGAAATGTATGAGTTTTCAGATACGCTTAAGAAATAATAAAAATTCTAAACTCATATTACATTATAATAAGAAATATGTCATTTTAACAAAGTTACAGCAGTTTAGAAAAATTTCTGGTCAAAAACTGATCTGTAAGTAAAAGAATAAGTTTTTAAAAAGATTGATAAATCCTACACAAAGAATTTAACTTATAGTATAAGTTAAGTAATAAATAACCACAAAGTGTAGACAAGATTTATAATGTTAAATAATTTGAAACAAAAATTAGTTTTTACTTTTATACTGAAATTACCATAAAGTTAGATATGATAGATTACTTAGATTACGTTCACGCTCATATCTAGATAAGTAATCTTAACCTAATGGTACCATCAATATTTTACAGCACGAACTAATCTGATAGAGCCTTCTGAAATTTTCTACGAATATTATTATTAGTCAGGTAAATCATAACTAATGTAGAACCTAGCATGAATGTGTATTATAAGTTTAAGTTACTACACCTTACATCAATACATTGAGAAAAGGAATTAGCAAAACACGAGATATAGATAAGTGATGAGCCAAACAATAGAAATGTGGTTCAAAAGAAACAAATGAGATCATGATTTGAAAGAAGATAGGAAATAAGTGAATCTGAGAAATTTTGACTGATTTCAAGTCATGTCAATTGCCACTTGTACTTCTAAACTATGTCTACATTTAAAGCTCTAACCAGGAAGTTTTCAACTAACAACACAGGTCAGACAAGTCATTAATGATCTCATAGACTAATAACATGTCTTAATCTTTACATTCATGGCTTTCTTATAACCTATTCCTTTGTCAGCAAGTATTGCAAGTCTAGGTAGTTGGTAACTACGCTTGTATAAAATGTCTTAACCTCCACAGATGGAGAAAATTGATGGCTTCACCAATCGACCTGTCAGCTTTAAATAGCATCTTGTATCACACCTCAATAATATTTAACTGAATCCCATCGTAGGCGAGGAATGCTTCAGAGACATCTATAATCAAATAGTTGAGGCTTACATGGATGTTGATTAGGCTGAAAAATTGGTTGCATGTGCCGAGGAAAAAACTAGTTCGGAAATTAAATCTGTCCATACAAAGATTATGGGAAAATTCGCTTGACAAGATAAATTGTTGACTAAGTAAACTGAAGTTTCTCTTTAACTGCTTAGTTTAACTCAGAAAAATTACGTACAGTGGAGCTGAATAGTTATATTCTAATGTTTCCTTAATTTTCACGGTCGAATCGAAGTGTAAAATACCATTGATTAAGACATCGTCAGTATAAAGCGATAAATAGACAAAAGTGTTTCGCTGATATGGGAATAATGTTATTTGGTTGAAACTTGAGGCGTTTAATATTTAACCACATCCCAAATAACTGTGTGAACATTGTTAGTGATACTAGACAATTGGATGACGTATGATATTAACAATGATAATATCCTACAATAAAATCAACTTTAAAATGCAAAACAGTACCGAGATACTTATTCAAGAAATAAGTTTCCATATAATGGCCACTTTAATCTTGAATAATAACAACTGTAAAATGTAAACAAATGACATCAAACACTATCTTCATACATATAGGATCATTTTAACATAAAAAGAAGCAAAGTAAAGTATCCGCTTTAAGCTGTGCGGTTAATAATTTCAAAATATTATTACCTGTAATCCAACACTGAATGCGGCCAGAAACGGTGTCCATGCTAGTTTGAACATTGGACGAACATGTTCACAATGGGTTGCACAAGTGAATTCAGATGAACCAGATATTACCTACACAATTAGAAATTAAAATTGAAGAGAGAATCATGAACAATGAAAAGATATTGATGATGAATTATTATCATTACTCGACTTGTTTATACATCACAGTAGACACTAAACATTTTTGGCATAAACCTGTTATAGGAAATAGAAAACAGCCACATTAAATGTGAAGTTGAATAACATGAAAGCTGACGCAATAATTTGTATTAAGTATTTTATTTGTATGCACTCCAGGATATAGGCTTTATTGAGTTCCATAAATTTGAAGAAATAGCATATCAGCCTTTTCAAAAATTTGACTACAATAGATTGTGTAACGGTCCTGGTATCACTGGACATGTTAAAATGATTGGTTTGCATTATTCTATCATTTTCTAACTGAAATTTGTCTTAGCTATCATAATAATGTAACGACTCAATAGTTTTTTTCCACACGAACACATTTTTATTGAGGTTTTAAAATGTCAAACGGTATGACTAAAAGCAACAATTTTCAGGTTCGAGAATGAGGTCATGCTGTTGACTGTATCGAGGCATGAGAATGTAATTCCTATGAACAACCGGCATGCATGACGATGTTGTTTTACAACAAACAAAGGGGCTTAGAAAGGGATCGTCCAACGTTATGATAAAGCACTTGACAGATAGAATACTAGGATGATTGATGTACACAAACTGATGACTATATCACACAACCAAACGAGAAAAGTAAGTCGTTGATGAAACTACAATAGTTTCAACGAAGTTTCCAGGTTCCAACCTCTTTTTAACAACTTCGGTCAAACCCTAAACTACTTTGCAGTCATTCAATATCCACCAACATCCTGAATAAGATATTGGTATCTCACCTTCAACTCAATACGAGAAGTTAAGAAAACTGTAATTCGTTAAATATTTAGATTATTGAGTTGAAATCTAATGGCAGACAATCCCAAATTTAATCACTACTCAATATAACATGATGATCATCCAACGCGATCGGTGTTATTTTTCACACTCTATAAAAGATCGAATCACATCAGTAAAGAAATCTCACTAGAAATTCGTAAACTAACCACTACTAGTAGTAAGCATACGACGTTTGTTAAAATTATTCAGTTCGAGGTAGGGTTTTCGTAATGAGTTGATATTTACTTATATGGAATATATCATGATGATGGCTACGATTAAAAAAGATAATGTCATTGAAGTCAGAAACCATCAACAAGAGGTATATTGATAATCTTTCTGAGACTATTCAAAATAACTAATATGATTAGATTGTGAACTAGATCAGTTAAATAATAGATACACTGATATTCTTTATTAATTGACCATTTTGTGTTTCACATAAACTATTTTTTTTATTCTAGCTAACAATTTTATATTGTAACTGATCGATCAATAACACTTGATACAATTTAATTACCGACTAAATTACAGACAATGTTGAAAATGAAATAGAACCTACAAATTTATTCATTTTTGACAAAAGTAATATTAGTTTATCATCACCGAAAATAGACATTAATTATAAAACTAATGACAAATATACAAGCTGATTTCAGTCACATTGTTGGATAAAGACAAAATCTTTCAAAATGTCAAACAGGTAGTAAGTAATAAACATCAATTCAGTGTTTTATTTTGTTGATTTTTTCGATTATTATGTTTCTTCTATATTAACCTTGTTATTGATAATGTAACAATAGTTAAATGTTTATTTAATTCATGTTTATTTGTTTTTACAAGAAATGTGAGAAGCACACACAACTGCGTGTATTTGTAGTCACGTAAAAAAAATATTTATTTACGAAGAACATTTTTTTTCTTTAATAATAATTCAGTATTAATCGTTCTGTACTTTAGAATGGCAGGATGGTAAACAGAAAATTAAACAAATACATCAAAGTATAGCAATTTTCAGAAAAATATCTAACTTGGCTAAAAAGAACTAGTTCATTCATTAATGGCCATAGGCTTAATGTTCAGTTTTTCTCAATATGATTGCTGGCACTTTATTTTATTCCCTTACAATCCATCTTTTTAAACTCATCTCATTGTGCTGTTCTATAGAAATTTAAACCAACGCAAATATGTACCACGCTCTGTGCTGATTGACTGATTCTAATCGTTAAGCGTTTACAATGGAACTTGTAAGTTCTTGGTTTAACCCCTAGTGTGGTCATGTGTGCGCACTGTCAAAACGTCTCATACTGGAGCGAGACAGATGTTCAAAATGTCCTGATTCTGAAAAGTACCTTCAATTAAGACCAATCTGTCATGAAGGCAACCTAAAAATAATTCGGCAATAATTTAGTCGAACAGCTTTGTGGAGTTTATTCTCATTATGCACTTAAGTCAGCTGAAATACCACTGAAAATCAGAGAGAACTAGACAGTTGTTCTGTTTTGATTTTGAACTCTTTCTAAGATACTTGTATTTCCTGAGCTTCCATCTCCCATGTATGGTCAAGAGTGACTTAAACTACGAGATTTCTTCAAAATAGTTTTACACAAAAATTATCTAGTTCTGTTTACTTTTCAATAGTTCTCCAATTGATGTTCATCTTTAGAAGGATTTAATTACTGACAAATGAATTTCCTAAACTAGTCGCTAGGTTGTCGAGCATAGAGTTTTAATGTGCTCAACGTCAATAAGTAAACAGTTCGTCTCGGAAAACTTTATTTGTTTCCAAAAAAATTAATTCATACAATTAGAGCAAAAGAGAATCAATGCGATCCGTTAACTGGAAAAAGAGGATAAATAGCTCATACTGAACAATAACTAGGGGATACAAAAAATTAGTCAACTATATTAACAACAGTGCATCTTATCGGTGTGATACAATCGGTAAAATTTTAAATGGTTGGATAGTTATTCACTTACAAAATTGATTTTCACAAATCGTCAGTAACATTTTGTGATGGTGGAGAAGATTTGTAGCTCAGGTGGGTGATTTTGATGTTGGTTTGTTCTCTGAGCTGGATGGTTTGGTCGTGGAGCTTTCATCGTCCTTCCCAACGACATCATCAGCACAAACTTCGGGTAGAAGTGAAGGACGATGAAAGCTCCACGACCAAACCATCCAGCTCAGAGAACAAACCAACATAAAAAAAAGTAACATTTTGTATATAGATATGTTATTGTATTAGGAATAAACTATTCTGCTAGAAATTTATCTTGTCTTCTAAGATTAGTTTATTGGGAACTTATATTATTAACTCGATCTTGTGAGTAGGCATCATTTGACTATTCTCAGTATTATTGCAATCCATTTGTCGATCAACATTCTTTTCTTTCATTTTAACAACATAAAATTCATCAAATTAAATCTTGTAAAATTCTACTCCATAAAAAGATGAAAAGCAGATGAGTCGTTACATTCTAACTAATCTATATTGTGAACCACATTTAAACATAGTTTAGGATGATGTTTCAAACTTACGGTAACTATCTTAATAACTGTAAAACGATAAGAAATATGTAATATCTACCAATTAATTCGTCTTCATAAAATTTCACTCTATAAAAATTATTTATTTTTAAATAAAACTTAGATATCAGTTTCAAAATATTATCATTATAAATTAATCACTTGGCGTATTATAGTCTAAGAAAGTAGAGGAAAAATTATGTTAAATACAAGTGACGTAGTTAACATGAAAAATGAACGTTTATCGAATCATAGACATTAACACCGTTGGATATCAGCTCAGTGGTCTAGAGGTTAAGTGCTCTGGCGCGAGACTGGTAGGTCCTGGGTTCGAATCTTGCGAGTGTGGGATCGTGGATGTGCACTGCTGAGGAGTCCTATAATAGGACGAAACGGCCGTCCAGTGCTTCCAGGTTTTCGATGGTGGTCTAGCTTCAATTGACTCATGATTTCAACTATGCAAATCATTGAAGACAAAGATGTCAATGTAAATTAGTTTTTACTTGTGAAAAAAAACTTACAGAATCTCCTAAAATCTCTCCATCTCCTGTTTGTCGTCGGTTATCTAATTTAGGGCTGATTTCAGTTGATGTAGAAATTTTTGTAAGTTTGGTAACATTATCATCAGCTTTCAATTTTATACCAGCATTAGCAATTTCGTCATAGATTTGAGCTAAGTAAGATTCTGGTAAATCTTGACTATCATTTATACCACGGTTCATGCGTATATAATCCTCCTTTTAAATGAGTTGATAATAAGATAGAATGACAAAAAAAATCATCAATTAGTCGGTAGTCAATCGAATTACACTGAACTACAATGGATTTTTATGGTAATAAATATAAATTATTAATTTGAATAAAATAAATAGGTTTTTCTCATTTTTTTCCTGTACAGTTACTAGGTTTGATCAATTGATTTAGTGTACTATGTATACGTATGAATAATAATAATAAAGATACTCAGTGAGTACATATTTCAAGAATGGTGGTTTCTCATTTCGCTTTTATATTTCAGTAAATCTTCAAATGATAAGAATTAACAAAAGAAATTTCTTAAACTGATGAAGTCACAAAAAAACAGCTGAAAATGCATGAACATGTTTTAGAACCTATTAACTCATTCTAACAGCTAAGGTACAAAGTTTACTTAGCACGAAAGCGTTGGCATCAATAAGCACTATGACATGAAATCAACAACTTTTGTAAATCAATAATAAATGTGTGATCCAACTGTTTTAAATGTATTACACGAATGTATCAAATTCTCAAGATAAACTTCATTCATAATAAGCCTTGATAATATTCAGCGTTGAAATAAAGGGTTAATCAAACAAATATAAGGCACTGAATATACATTTCTATAATATCCTAGTGACTCACTGGATTCTAAAAAAAATGAAATGAGATATGCTGAAATATTTTTAAAGGAAATTACTTCATGGAGTGCTTACCTTACTCATACGATTATGTGGTTTAATCTGAGAACTATGCAAATCTGTAGTCAACATGATTATTGAGAAAGCCAAAACGTATGCAGTATCGGCTGAAGCAAATACATCATTATTTGGATTGCATGCAAAATAACGGGCAGCAAATTTTTCCATAAGTCGATCAATTTTCTGTGCTTCACCAGGTAATCGAAAGCCCGATAAAAATTCCCTTTTGATTAAAATGCAAAAAATAATAAAACAATCTAACTAGGTAAAGTAATTTATTAATTTGTTATGAAATTGACTTTTTTTATCAACCACCAGTTAATATAAGCTGTTGGACCATTGAAAAGTATGGAAAACCAGACAGCTGTTTTGTCCTAGTTTGATACTTGTCAGCAGTATGCATTAACAACCTCACAAGGGAGCATCGATTTCAGGATTTTCATATCTCGTAGCAAAGTTCCAAAATAAGACGAAACAACAGCTGTCTAATGATTCTTTGTTTTTAATATTCACCAGTTGATATCAATGGATTAAGACTATCTTCAAAATGAAGGACTTTCGTCTCCTTATCTATCTGTTTACAAGTTACCTGACCAAAAATAATTTCATTTAGAGATGTGAAGATTATTTATTCTTAACTTGGAAATTAAAAAAAATAATAAACTATCTCTTGAATTACAAAAATTATAATAAGCCAATTAGTTACACATATGCTTACACACTTTAGCTATCACTAACAATTACCCTTAACAGTTGTGATGCAACTTGAAATGAAGTTGAGTGAACTGATATCTTCATGAGTCTATATTTAGAAGTTTTATGTTCAAGTTAACGAATCGAAAGGGAAAAAATCTCGTACATATAATCGAATAAAGTATTGACAAATTGAATTTCATATGAATGTTGGTCATTGAAATTTGAAAGATAAAACAAAATAAACTTAACATGTTACACATTTGACTTGTACGGAAATAATGATGGTTAGCAATACATTAACAAAACAAGTAAGTAGTAAACATGTCTAGAATGTTATGATGCAACAAACGGCATTAAGGAATCAAATGATAATGCAATGACCGGATTTTAACAATTACAAGCCATGATCAAAAAGAAAATATTGAAGGAAGTGTTATTACTACATTCAGTACACATTCATTAGTAGGACAATAAACCATACTTATTATGTGAGCATATATTTATGCATTAACGATACTACTTCACAAGTAAAATCTGAATTAAATAGAATGAGTTAAGAACACATATGGTTGATAACTGAATATCATAACGAAATCCTGATCCATTAATCCTTAAGTTGAAAGAGACAATAAACTCACCTCATAGCAGAAACGAAATCTTTGTCAGTGAAATCAAACTGATCAACATATGCATACATAACGCGTAGATTGTACGGTTCATTTTCACCGAGAAAATAACCGATATGTGATTTTGACAGACGATCCTCAACTAAGAGAAACTGTGCTACTGACTCGACAGATTCTCCAATCAATCCATTTTCTTGCAGTAATTGCAAACAACGAAGAGGTTGATTCTGATTGAACAATGCTAATCCAGATTCATAAATTTCTTTTTGTGCCTTGCGAGATTCAAATGCTTCAGGGTCATCATAAGGTTTAACAGCGCCTAATTTTGATAAGAACATATATGCAATAATTAATTATAATATTTACATATTTATTAAAATATAGCTACAATTATGTTTCGAAGTGAAAGACAGAGAAAAGATCAGGAAAAACCAATTAACACCAAAATGTTGGATAAAAGTAAAATACGTCAAGAATCTAATCACTCAGATGCATTTCAAAGTACATTACTTACACCAGTTACACCTCGTAGAGGATCATAGGCCATCTATCAGCATTATCCTTAGAACTCTGTCCTAGACAATCCTTTCAAGTTGCTATTCATTCTTTTCATGTCTGCTTCCAATACCTGGCGTAGTGTTTTTTGGTCTTCCTTTTCCCTTCAGGATTTCAAGCTAGCGCCTGCCTCGTGATACCGTTTGATGATTTCCGTAATGTATGTGCTATCCACTTTCACAATATCTTTTTAACTTCCTTTTCTGATGGAAGCTGGTTTGTTTCTCTCTCATAGTAGGTTGTTGCTGATGGTATTCGGACAATAACGGACATTGAATATATTACGCAGACAATTGTTTATAAATACTTGTACTTTTTTGATGATGGTTGTAGTGGTTCGCGAAGTTTCAGCTCCATTCAGTAGAACTGTGTTGATGTTCGTGATATGTCTTGTGGGTTGAACGCTATATTCAGATCCTAAGCTATTCGGATAACCCCAGGCTAGCACTACTCAGCGACTTGAAGACCAGAGAGAAGACACGAGTATCAGAGAATCACTTTACTACAAGGTTCATCTTTGTACAGAAAAATCGTAAGTATTTATAGATGTTTGCTTAAGTTAAATCAACATCCTAATTCAGCCAATCCAATAAACGACATATATTGCTACTGACCAATGGTAGCATGCCACGTTGGAACTCCAGAATGTTCTGTCGTGCTCTGATTGGTTGGAGCTCTTTTTGAGCCTCTGGAGGCTCTGTTGGAGTTCTCTGGAAACCAACTTAACAGTTCGTATTGAAGATCGTGACTTGGATTTCCATTGTATTCCGTGCCTCCCTTGGGATGTGGAGGTCTTCATCATGCAGTCGACCGCCAGAAGAAATAGAAAGCAAGACAATTTCAAGGTATATGGTGGCGACTACATTGGCGAATCAGTCTCAGCATGGTCTGACATTCTATTCTTGTCCGTATTACTAGTGGTCAATTTGCGTCTACTTAATCTCAACTAACATTGCTTCTAGAAGAATTCTCTATGGTACGAAACATATTTTAACAATCTGAATGGCGAACTGATTAGTGTCAGCTGTTATCATATTTTAGTGCTATTTTTAAAAACACTAGCCATACTAGGACAAATTTAATACCATATACAAATGCTCTTGAACGAAAACCTAGTTGATTCCATCCATACTGACATCATGCTCCCTATATCCAAGGGTTTGAAGAATAATTGTGTCCCCAGTTTCACTGAAAATGATGTCTGGAAATGTCTCCAGTCTCTGAATTCATCCCAATGTTTAGGACCTGATGGTATCCCAAACCTCCTTTTTAAAAAATGTGCCGATGTTTTATGTTATCCATTAATGAATATCTTCAACAGATCCTTCTCAACTAATGTCTTACCGAAAATGTGGAGAAAGATAAAGGTAATCCCTATACCTAAGAAGGCTTCTGGTGATAAAAATGCGAAACTTAGACCCATAGCAATAACCTCACCTTTCCTCAAAATAATGGAAAAATTACTGATACAACCACTTCAACCTGTAATAAAAGAGCACTGTGATCCATATCAGTTTGCTTACAAATGCAAAAGAAGCACATTAGATGCCGTTGCTGTTCTGCATCACAATATAGTGTTCGGGTTGGAAAAGGGTAAGAAGTATGTTAGATGCGCTTTCCTGGACTTTACTTCTGCTTTTGATTCTATTCCAAGACACCTCTTACTTAACAAGCTGATCAGCGTCGATACTGACAGCTGGATAACCAATTGGCTATGTTCCTACCTTTCTGGAAGAGAACAGTACACTGTCTTTGAAGGAAAGTGTTCAACATCTCTACTGTCTACTGTAGGTGTGCCACAAGCTGTTCTTTCACCTCTGCTCTTCTCTTTCTTTTTGCATGATCTGCCATCTTCCACAGAAAACACTTTTGTAAAATATGCGGACGACCTCACTGTATGTATGCCAATTTCTACCTCCTTACATCCTATAGAAATGAATGACTTTTTATCTCGTATTGAAAGGTGGTCTGTTGGTAATGGTCTCTTACTCAATCCATCTAAATGTCAAGCTGTTAATTTTAGCTTGAGACATGGACAGAACCTATACTCTATGTTGGGATCCCATAATGCTTGTGCCATTGGAGACTCCTTAATAAACACAGTGTCGAAAGTCAAATATCTTGGTGTTATTTTTTCCTCTGATCTTTCTTGGTCTTCTCATGTTTTGCTGTTATCGAAAAAAGTTTACCGTTTGACATACTACATAAAGAGGCTGCATGATTTTGGGATTACTCGCCATTTACTCTTACACTTTGTAAATTCCTGCATATTACCTATTATTTTATATTGTTCTCCATTATTCTTTCCTGGGCTTTTGAGAAAAGACTTTGCTATTTTGCGTAGAGTGCTGAAGGCAGTTTGCAAGGTATGTGGTGAATCTTTTGAAGTCATTGTTAATATGCTTGTGGATAGACATCTTAAGGCTTGCAAACTCTTGGCAGGTGTTATCTTATCAGACACTAAACATCCCCTTTATTCATATCTTTCTCCTTGTATATCTTCTGGTAGAACGAGACGTAAATACATTAAAATTCATGCACGCAAGCAAATCTATAAAAGTTCTGTAATACCTTACTTAGCTAATTTACTTTGTGACGAACAGGCTGTTAGAGTTGACCTAGTAAATAACCTGTCTTCTTAAGCATGTCTCATATTCGATAATTTGTATAAACTCAGATTTTCTTAAACCTTTTTTTATATTTTATTTCTGTTTTTTGTTGTTTTTTTGGTTTTATTTTTTTGGGAAAAAACTTGTTGAAATAACTCGTGCTGAGAATTCTATATTGTACCAGATTATAATATAGAATAAAGCCATTAATAATAATAATAATAATAATGATACCATACACTATAAATGTGCTTGGTTAAAATAAGTTTAAAAATTGAGTAGAATACATATAAACACAAATGAATAGTATATACGGTAAAACTAAAAATCTGTTTGTTTTTGTTACTTCGAAATGAGTAGAAGAATATTATTTATTTTATCATGTGTCTATAGAATGTGAATGATCCCATACAATACACCAATATGTATTTGATACCAGAAGTCGTAAAACATTTTATTATAGTTGCGTAATACCGTTCTACAAACAGTAGGTTTTTCGTAATTGATGAATAGTTTTAAGAGACCTAAATTCATGTACACATAATTTTACTAAAGGAGTTATTTCATGTGCTTTAATAATATATATACCGGTAAATTCACCCGTACCTTAATATTACCAGTAAATGTGAATGCATTCATATTACATAGTTTAAATTAAACCGCACTCATCTCAAAAGTTACAGTAGATTCACTTCAGTTAATATTGAAATCAAGGTAAAAAGTCTAGGTTCCTGGAAAGATTGTAAATAATTGACATAAACAAATGAGAATCGTCAACTAATTGCACCATTGTGGGTGATCCCGAGTGTTAGTGGTTTAATGGCATAATCACCTTTTCAAACCGACGTACGTGTTGTGGATTTGATGTTATGAAAAATGGACAGAAACCGAGTATCTAGGCTGGGAGCACAGTTCCACTAATTGCACATGATAACGAAAAGACCTATTTCTCTGGGCCAATGACCAACATTTCTTAGGAAGGTCAGTTTATAATAATCAGCTATACTGACTGAACTAACAAATGGTTTTAACTTGAAGTCCTGAAAGTGGTAGCTGAATTCCAAGACGATCGAGTCACATATATCGTATAAAGTAATGGTAATGTATAAATATTGTTTGGAACTACTCACCTAGTAAAGTCATATTATGACTACCATCCACACCGGCATTTTCTGCTGTATTAGTATTACTGCCACTATTGGCCAACATTGGTTCAGAACCTAAAAACGACTGGGATTCTGGATTAATATAAAGCTCCTGAGACCATTCAGTCATACAACGTAAAATCAGTACTAAACACTCCAAACCACTAGATCGTAATATTTGTTGCTGTTGCTGCTGACTTGACGACGATGTATTATTACCATGTTCAGCGACCAGATAACGTCCTTGAGCAATTTTAGCTAGATTTGTTGTTAGTCGTTCGAATATGTTCGCCATACTTAAATCACAATCATAATTTAGATAAATATCAACTAAGCATTGTGCATCACCACATATACGTTTCAATGCATCAATAACAATTAATTTATGTCCATACGATGACTTGGATGATTCCAAAATGAGTAATAAGACGTCTTTGAAGAATACTTCGATTTGTCTTTTTAAGTGCGGTTTGAAATATGTTAATAGGGCAAGAAAAATAGCAACAGATAACTCGAATATTTCCACAATTGGTGAAGTACCATTTTTAAATAAAGCTACACATAAATACTGTTTAATAGCAGCTATAAATATTTCACTCGTTGAAAATAACGGACCAGGTTGTTGTAACAAATTAAGCAATAATTGTAGTGACAGAGATTTTGAGCGAACAGCATGTGATTTAGGATCATTTGAGTCTGAACCCGTGAAATCTTTCACTGCCAAACGACATAAACTACGAAAAACAAGAAATGCATCCTTCTGTGTAACATGCGCTGAAGTGACAATTTCACAATTATTATCCATGACTAATGTAGAATTCGGATCTTTCAAATCCGACTCATGTATGTTATTGGTAGCTGTAGCAGTGGCACTAACAATACTGGGGGTGACACTACCACTTGACCATTCTTGATTAAGGCTAGTATTTACCGAAATTGAAATGGATGAAGAACGTGACGAATCTATAGATGATTTACATATATCAGGTAGCGATTCAGAATTTGGTATACAAAGCGATGATGACAGAGAATTACTATCGTCTTCGTCATCTACTGAGACTTTTTTGATTATTTCATATAGAATGTCTTCAACGATTTTATTAACTTTTGATTCAGAATCCTTGTCTTCTTTCGTAGGTATATCACCATTGTCAGCATCAGGGGAGACACAACCGTTGATATGGGTATCGCCATTTAGTAATTTCTCACCAGTATTGTTTTCATCCTACATTAGAGTAAAGGAAGATATACACCAATGTGTTTATTTATTTAAACACATATATATTGGTACAAAAGGGCACCAGATACATATGCGCCACACAAAATAATGAAAGTAGGAAGAGAAGGGATGAAAAGATAAGGCGGACTGAAATATACAACCGGAAGACTCTTTCAGTTAAGAAAGTTAGAACCACTCTTCATGTAGAAAGTAAAAGAAGGTTGCAGCAGGATCACCACTGGCTTCTATTCTGAGCCATATCTGATAACGTCTCTAGCCACTGTGTTGCACCATCTCTCGGGCTCCAACCAGGGAGTCGTGAAGGACCAACAAAAGCTAGCCCTTTGCAGCTCTCTTTCATGCCACGACACCATGTCATACACTGACCTCCTCTCCGCTTTCTCCAACCAGTCCCAGAGTCGGCAAATAATGCACGACGTGGAAGTCTCTGGGACGACATTCGTAAAACATGTCCAAGCCACCGAAGTCGGTGTTTCAAGATAGTGACACCAATTGAATTATCATCTCGGCTCCCGAACACACGATGCAGAACCTCTGCATTACTAACATGGTGTTGCCACTGGATGTCATCAATCCTTCGGAGACAACGATGATCAAACACAGAGAGACGTCTAACATCCTCAACTCGGAGAGGCCAGGTTTCACAAGCATAGAGCAAAACTGCTCTCACCGACGGGTTGTAAATCCTACCTTCTACAGCCAGACTAACATCACGAAGGCGCCAAAGATGGCCCAGATTGGCATAAGCCACTCTGGCTTTCCTTATACGTGCATCAATCTCGTCACTCACGCCACCACCAGCACTTACATAGCTACCTAGATACACGAACTTCTCAACTACTTCAATCTGCTCACCATCCAGGGTGAGTACAGGATGAGAATCCTGTCAGTCTTGTAGGAGTACTTTGCACTTGGAGGGTGCAAAGCACATACCGTACCTGTGGACACTGATTGCCAACTGATTAAGTGCTGATTGCATGCCTTGGGCATTATCGCACAGTAAGACAATATCATCCGCATACTCGAGAAGTCGTTCTCCAGATCCATACCGCCATTACTTACATCCATCAGAGCTGTTTCCAGAATGTCATCGATGGCAAAGTTGAAGAGGAATGGTGAGATCGGGCAACCCTGTCTAACCCCACTACTCGAATGAAACAAAGGAGAAAGGTGGTTGTATGCCCTCACTCTGCCTGAGGTGTTCGTATACAGGGCCTTTAAGATGTTAATGAACTTCTCAGGCACACCCTTCTTCAATAGACAATCCCAGAGAACAGTCCTGTCCAACGAATTGAAGGCAGCCCTGATATCAAGAAACACTACGATTGTTGGCCTGCGATAAGTATGACCGTCAGTTCCTTAGTCAGAAAGTCATCACCATCTTTAAAAAGAGCCGGAGGTAAGTCATCTGGGCCCGGTGATTTGTAGCGCTTCAAGAGTTGGAGTTTCTTGCGGACTTCCGCCACGTTTGGTGGATCAGTCGTCACCGGCCATGGGGGGTAGGACAAGCTGGTTGATGTTGCCGGAGCAGCAGGCCAGTTGAACTGCCCTTCAAAAAATTCCGCCCATCGTCCAAGACGTCGATTGGCATCCCGTCATCCTCGTAGATTGTTTCACTCACACCAGACTTCTTGCTGCCAGTGGCTCGGATGAGTTGGAAGAGCTTCCGGCAGTTACCAGATGCAGCTGCTGCTTCCATCTCATTAGCACGCTCCGACCACCAGGCTTCTCGGTATTTACGCAAGCTTTGCCCGATTTCATTACGTAACAGCCTTCGTTTGTGGTCAAACTTACGGTCACCCGGAGTAGACCGACGGGATTCCATAAGTTGTAAGGAGCCAGAAGAAACCCAGTGCTTGTAAGCGGGACGTTTCGCGAAGCCGCAAGCAGCTTTACTCGCCATTTTCATGGCACCAATGTGTTTAAAATTGTTTATATTTTAAATCTGATGTTTAACTCACTGGAAAAAAAGATTATTATCATCAAGGCCATTAATCATTCAGAGAAATAGTGTACAAAACAGTCAGTATGATAGGATGATATATGAATAAGTAAAAATGTAAAGTACATCTTGTTTATCAAGTTAAGATCCTGATTGTAAAAGTGACTTAAATTAATACTCATTTACTCGGTAAAAATATTATTTTCTACCGCTTTAATCCCCTACATTAAGTGACAGACAACCGAAAGATGACTATTGGAATATAACTACTTATACAAACATGTTGACAATCAATATTAAAATCATTCAACGAAAATCTTTGGAGTTAGGTTATGACTGAAACGTATCCAGAAGTTAGTTTCTCTGAAATTAAAGCCACTTATTCCTTGCTACAGAGTAGTACCAGCAGATATGAAACTCAAACTGACGCCTTTTTGAAAACCACTCTTAAATAAAAAATTTTATTCCTGCTTTCAACAGTGACACTGAATTAATTTACAAACTTTGGTCAACACTATAGGATGTGTACAACAATCGCTATTTTTTAGCAACCAACGAGGAGAGTGAAGACCAATCATAATCTGAAAATCAAAAGAATAATAGTGTGCATATATTTCGCCAAAAATTAGCAACTACATCAGAAACAAAACAGTTACATCTAAACTTAGGATTTTTCTAACTACTTAGATCGGGAAATAACCTACTTTTCGCGAATCCGATTCATTTACAAATGATATTTTTGTTGAATTTCCCGAAGGTAATTGTTCAATCTTACATTCATCTGGTGTAGTTGAATCAGAATTAGGAGAAATATGTGCATTCATTGCAATCGCTGCTTCAAATGCATTTTGTTCCATCCGTTGAAATAATACACTAATAATCTGTGTAAGAGTTGCACGTGCTGTTGCTTGATTAATTGGGTTTTTTGTTGCCATAAAAATGTTATAACAAGTTCTTACAACAAGAAGGATATCGGCTTCATGAATTTCAACGACTGAGCTTGTGATCACAGTTAAAAGTGCCTTTAAAATTTGTAACTGAATGCCATCATCAGTTTGTACACCCTATATGTGAAAAAATTGACAAAATACTCTAATATAATTGCTCTGAAAAGTAGTCGTGCTTAGAGAAACAATATGGAAAAATAAGAACTTTCATAAAATGTTGTAGATGTGAGTTACACCGATCATATAAAGCTTAAGAATACTAATTACTTCCAAGTTTAAAACAGATTAAATGGCTCAAAACATCTATTCTAATATTCGAGTAGAAATATATGAGATTGGAGGCTTAAATAGGATTAGTGGATGCAGAGAGTCCATCCAGAGGAGTCGTAGCGTCTTCTTTTTATACATCAAGCTAGGTTTCATACTGAGCTTTTTGCGATCAACTTTCGATGCCGAAGCTTTGTGTAGTGCTACATCCCCTTTTGGTGTACTGATTTGGATTCTGATTATCTTCCGGTATTCCCTAAATCTGGTTTAAGTTTTGTTGGACTTCTGTGACTTGTGGATGTTTTACAAATGTCATTTTGGCGACTTTCACAGTGTGCATTGTTTGACAACGGTGAGATTAAATGTATGAATCTAGTTTTATTTCATAATATTATCAATTCATTCATGTAAAATACTTTATGTTACCCTACTGTACTAAAAGTTTTGTTTGGTATGAACATGAGACATGTAAAAGCACTATATGTGAAATTACTTTTTGATGTAAGGAATCTGGAATACATAGGTTATATGTATATCTTAACCATATATCCTGTTAGATATACATACTTCACATCGAGTATTATCGATAGGCAAATGTAAACGATTTCTGGTAGTCATAAAAACAATACAAATTATTGGTTAGTGATTAACTTAACGTTATATTAGCATAACTAAGGTCCGAAAATAAGCTGTATTGATAATACAAATTATGAGTTTTAGGACTCACTTGGAAACATGAACATATTGTAGTTACAACTTGTTCGATTATACGAACTTTTCCAGAAGAGCAAACAGCTGTGTTTGGAATATGACCATAAGCAATTAACTTCTGCAATGAATCGACTGCTGTGCTGACAATTTTTGGTGATTTCATAGTGCAGGCCAGTTGGAATGGACGAAGAAGTCTTTCATCACTCAACAATATACCACAGTCTGATTTTAGAGGTGGAAGATGTGTGCTAGATTCGTTGGTTGACGAGAGTTTACTACTAGGTAACACTTGTGGTTGTTCTTTTAACAAGACGAGAGCCTCCTCACATGCCTTTTTTACAGCTGAATTGTGAGACTTTCGGGTTTCGCGTTCGCTAGCGATTTTTTCAATAGACCTGGTTAGAAACATACTGAACGCCTGTGATGATATTGAAAACTGGGGTTGCGGTATCTGAATTGCGTTGTCAGTTTCAGAAGTAGGAAAACTCGAGACGGTATTTGTACTTGGTAGATTCTGTTTTAAAGAGTTTGAGTTCTGCAATGGAAGTTCTTGATCATTGGGATTTTTGGATGAAATCGCCAGCATCTCATTTACCTCTCATCCAAAACTGGACATTTAGTTTAAACAGTTAAACATTAGACATGACGCTTCTGAAAAATTAACATTAAATACACCATAAGCTAGAATACAGGAACGATGAAGCAGTATAAATCAGACTTGAATAATCGCAAAACAGTCTTGACATGAAAATTGATGCAATTTTGCGGGAGCGTTTATAATGAACGTAGTTAAATAAATTCTATTCATTGAAAAGATTTTAAAAAACTTCAGTATGTTATTCGATAGCGAATGAAAAAGAAACCAACTAGCTAGGGACAACGCCTAGGACACCTATTTGCTCGAAGTGAGCAAATACATAGTATGTATAATTGTTTTCAAATTACCAAGTATGACCAAAAATAGGCAAGGTAGTGTTGTGGAAAAACGGGCAAGACAGTTAATGAGTGGGTGGATGATTCAAAAGCCCAATTTTCGACGAACGGACTTCAAGCTCGAACTTTTGCTTTGAGCACTTTGGTTTTAGAAGTTATAGATTCTTGCTAAACTCCACTTAATAGATATCTATTTATAGCATTCATAGCGAGAGCGAACCATATGGATTCCAATTAACGAACAATTAAACTAAGGATTTTTTGCTGTCTTACAACTATGAAGTACCCCTAACCGAAAGTCATGAGGTTTATAGATATTCAACGACATATGCATTTGAAACCGCCCAGGAATAGGAAAACCGTCGAGCGGACAACTATGTGGAGCATATACAGTGCGTCAGTCAATAAGGCTCTGAATATACACCTAATAAGATGGCGAACAGCTAAGACATACCGAATCGACGTTAACCTGACTATGTCATAGGTTGATAGAGGTAGGTAAATTTTCAGAGCTTACGTTACTAGCTGTGGCAACAATGAATATCCCTGATAGATATACGGCTTTTTAAGGTTGTGACGTATAATGAAGGGAATGAAGAAAATAGTAACAGGAGGAGCAGTAAAATCCAGCTTTGTAAGTGAGGTGATGTCCCTGAATATTTCAGCTACTGACTTCATGAGTTAATCTCTATAGATCAGCCAGAAGATACTACACTATGGACTATCTAGTTGAGTTAGGTTGAGAGTCCTAAAGTACTATATTAAGATACATGTGAATATATGCCTTTTAAACCTCCCAATTTACACGTGATATGAAAGTCGAGATTTGAAGTGATCGAATTTTACGATATATAACTGGATAGCTTATTTACTGAAATATAGTCGTTAGTAATACCATTGAAATAACATGCCCCACAGCTACATATTATATCTATTTAAGACGAGGCTATCTAGGTTGCTATACAGGCATATTATTTAATTTGCTGAAACGAAGAGGTTCTAAAATTGTGTATATCTGATGGGTTTGTGACGTTTATAATAGATCCTGAAGAAATCCCCAAAATAACTAAGACCTTAGTTCGCGCTTACAGTTTATTGCGTTATTACAGGACGAACAAAAAAAACACAACCAGCTACCTACATATCAACATCAACGTCAAGAAACGTTTACAAACCCCGCTATTTACAATCAATACCCAATGGAAAACTGAGTTATCAGCCCCAAATGATAGTAGAAGTACATTTGTTGATAAGTGATGATCCGTAAAGTGAGCAATTTTTTAGAGAATCGTTTCAAGCCTGTTTATTTTAGAAATATTCTGATAACCGACTAGTATATGCAATGATCTCGAGTCCTATATGCCACAAGAAAAAGGTGACGTTTCATAAAGGATTCAGTGGCAAATAAATCCCTAAAACAAACAATCCTCTCAGTCTCCGATATTGATGCTGACCTCATTAGCTTTACTGGATACACTCAACTGAAGGTGCTCGGTCACGCATCCACACTAGATCACTAGTTCATGGCTGAGATGGCCTAACAAACAGTTGTACCGACCCTTCCAAACATACAGAAGGCAGATATAAAGGCTATCAACTCTTCAGAATCGGCCGAAAACTAAATAGTTAACTTAGGGGCATTAGTAGAAGAGGCATCGACTCATTTCAAGCAGTTATACAAACGGGTAACTCAGTCATATATACCCTGAACAGTCCCAAAGAAGAAGAAGCACGACAATCCCTAGATAGGCCAGGCTATTCGACATTTACTAAGACAAGAAGAAACTTTGGAACGTTACCAGCAGTCTTGGCACAGCACGTACTATGGAACGTTACAGGTCGGTGAGAAATAAGTGCATAATTACAATCCGGGAAGCTCAAAGAAAATATGAAATGCAGTCTGCACAATCTGTAACAAAGCAGCCCAGGAGACTATTCTCGCACATAAACTGGAAAACAAAAATGCAGCATTGGATTCCTAACCTAATTACGGAGGAGAGTCGGTCTCAAATGACAGAGGATGGTCATGAAAAAACAGAGGCTATGGCAAGCTATTTTGGAGTTTTCACTCAGGAGCATCGTCCATACGAAGAACTAGACCCAAATACAAAATCAAAAAATCGACTGCTCACTGTGGACTTTGATCAAGATGTGGTACATAAAGTCCTTGGCACTTTAAACACGGAAAAGCCAACAGGGCCGGATGAACGACAACCTAAAATCTTGATATAAATTGCCCAATATATTGCTGCCCCATTGAATGTGACATTCAATATGTCACTTGGCTAAGATGTGTTACCTACGGGCTGGAAGGATGCAATACATAAAACAGGACTAAGATAACATCCATCAAACTGAAGACCTGTCAGCTTCACCAGTGTCGTAGACAAAATATTGGAAAGAATAGTCAAAGGACCACAATGACGATCGGGTAAACCAACAACTTGTTAAACAGTGAACAACGTGGTTTCAGAAAAGGTTTATCTTGCACAACAAACTTCCTTATAGCAAGGGAGCAATGGGTGAAGGCTATAGACAGTGGAAAAATAATAAATGTTGTCTACGTAGACTTCAGCAAAGCATTCGACAAGATGACAACAAATAGACTGCTACTGAAGCCAGAAATTCTTAGCAGTATCGGACCTCTCATTAGATGGCATACAGATTTCCTAGTATGTTGTGGACAGAAAGTAAGAGTAAATTCGAAGTACTCCACCTGGAGACCAGTACTTAGTGGAGTACCGCAGGGTTCAATCCAAGGTCTTTTACTTTTTATGCTACACGTAAATGAACTCCCTCAGTTTAGTTGAGTCTCCAATGTTACCATATGCTGACGATGTAAAAATCTGGAGACGGAAATGAATGCGCACTCTAGGCAGACTTAAATGTTCTGATTATCTGATCTGATGCCTATCAACGCAGCAAAGTTCGCCTACATGCAGTTTGGGGATTCAAAGGCAAATAAATACAGTATAAAGGAAGTACCTTAACCCATATTCAGGTCTGACAAGGATTTTGTGGTGACGGTGAGTCATGGTCTTAAGACCATGACCTACTGACGTGGGGTTACAGCTCGAGGGTTTAGAAACCCATGAGTTGCAAGACGGACATTCACCAAGTTAGATACTACCATGTTCATTGCAGTACACATAACCTTAGTGAGAACTTGAAAACTGAGTTCAGGCTGCAAGCCCCTGTTGAAAAGGTGACTCGGATATCCCGAAAAAAGCACAGAGGGCAGATACCCTCACAATCCCAGAACTCCTGGGTTTACCATACAAAGAGTAGCGTGAAAAGCTCGACCTTTTTGCTCTGTCCTATCGCAGATGAAGAGGTGATTTGATTTTTATGTATAATAATAATATATTTCTGCAAGGGCAGGTACACGCCTGTAAAAATGGCCATTGTGGAAATATAGAATGCCAAGAAATGATTTTAGACCTAGTATATCGGATGGCATGGCTCAGCCTCGCAGAAGAACTCATTCTGTATAACTTGTTTTTACTCACATTAAATATATTATTCTGTATTTAGCCTAAATGTGTTCTTCAAAAACGCGAGTCAGAATAGACAATGATGTAACTTCCACATAAGATCATACAGATTAGGTAGTTACATCATGACAAATCTACAATTTTAGGTTTATGTCTATTATTATAGTGGTACTAATAACAAACTAGACCATAATTCTACATATCCCCTCTTTTTTCTTCTAACTAGATCGAGACATTTTACAGGACACAGCAGGCCAGTAGAAAAAGCCAAGAACGAACAAAATACCTGCAGCATACAGGCTTTTACACACAGTCATCAATTTATGGAACCTGAAGTGGTGTCTTCATCTTCCCTTGACTTATTCAAGAGAAAACCAGACACTTACAGAAGCATATTAGAAAAGGGATAACATAAGCCGTAGGTCTTCCGTCTTTACTACAGAAATTGTGATTTGAAAAATATGAGTACGTACACCGTGTCACGCATCTTTAGCAACTGTTAACCAGCTTAGACCAAACGCTTCTCGTGATACCGATAGACTTCCAAATATATCTTCATACCTTTTTATTTCTCACTTCTGATTTGACTAGGTCGGTACACTTCGACTGTAAAGGTGTTACGTGCATAGGAGTTGTCAAACTCCAAATACCTGTAGCATTTTCAAGGGTTTTGGCAAACTGTTACCAATCTAGACCATCTCTCGACATTCCGTTTCTAAGTCTGACTGCTTTTGTGAACACAAGATGTTTTCTTACCAGCGACATAACCACAAAATTTCACAAATCGGGAGTTTTCTTTCTCCAGTGTCTCGACATTCTTTATAACCGAAAATAGCCATACTATTTGTAAACAACTTAAAGTGACCATATCCTAACACATCATTATCAACTCAATCCACTTAGTCGAGAAGAAAGTTCTGGTCGGGTCAGATAAGCTATCCAACAGGCTCAGAGAGAGATAAGTCTCTCTATCTACGCTATCTTTAGAATCGGCACACTGGTACCGTAAATTCATATCTTCTGCATGGCTTATCATCAATGCATCGGATTCAGCGATGGAGTTACATAAGTCAGTGTTATGGGGAGTGCTTGAATAATAAGCTTAGTAACATTCAGTTATCGTAAGGTAATAATCGATATTCTAGTTCCCTATTATATTCACCGGCAAAATTCTGGTTCCGCCTTAAAAAACGAGGTTGGTCTATCGTGGCGTTTGTATGAACTAGTGATTCTTTGGTACTTGATGACTGCATTATTTCGAATTGTAAATACAGTGCGTTTGTTTGTGTTCATCTGGTTCTCTCCGGTCTAAATTGGGCTGTTTCCCGGGTTATTAGTTCGTACGATAATTCAAATACTTCTAACCATCACATCGGCGTCATGATGGAGCCTGTGGTGGAACAGTTGGACATACGTTCAAATTTCGATGCTTTTGAAGATTATATAGAAGGGTTCAAAATCTGGAATATGATCAGGGAAGATGTTGAGGATGTTAATATTAAGGCTCATTTCCTTACATTCACTAGAAAATAAGTCTACAGCTTATTAAGAACTTTGGCATTTCCAGAAAAGCCTATTTTACTTCTTTATGCAACTCTTAACGAACTACCACCAGACCAAGTAAAGCGTGCAAATTTGGAATACCTTGAAGGAAGGATATTTCATAAAGTGATTCGTCAGGACATCAGGTGTCTCACCATGTTACTACGTTATCCCGACCCAACGCGTATTCAACTTTATGCAGATATCAATTCAATAATGAGTTGCAAGGCAGGTCACGAAGATGAGCACAAGTTTGGCCAAAGTTTTTCCTGTGGCGAATTTCACCTATGTAAGTGATGTGTATTTCGCAATGTTAAATGCTTTAAATATAAAACTGGACACATTCAGTTAGTTTGTAATACTATTGTTCATTTCGCTGCATCTAATACTAGACTTTGTAATTCCGTTCTCATTAAGTTGAATGTTTCAAATGAAAAATACTCTGATCAGATTCATCATATTATTTTACCACGAATGTGTTGTTCTCACGATTCTTGTATTTCTAATGAAATTATTTACAAATATGTGGAAGATATATCGAGTGCATCAAATCCTGATCAGAACTCTGATTTTATTTTACCAAATGTGGTTCGTCCTATTGATTCATCTATTTCTGGCGAAATCTTAATTAAATGGAAGGAACAAGCTCTAAATAAGTTAAAATCTGATTATAGTCCTTATGGTGTCGCATCGGATGACAGTTGTCCTCACAATGAATTTATCGCTGGTGATATTACTAATGAACGTGACAAATCTGTTTCAAATGGGTTGAATTCTAGTCACATTTTTGATGTTATATCAGATGTTGGATATTCTACCAACCAGTGTGTGCCGAGTGGAATCCTTGGTCAGTGGTATGGTGAATAATGAGTTTTCCCGACGCAGTCAGAGTACTAGATTATCCAGATATGAAGTTTGCATAGACAGAAAATTCAAACAGAGTCCAAGATTATCCTAATGAGTATGACACAGGTGCACATTTTCCATTTGATTATGTTGCAGGTGAATTTAGCCTAGATGAGTCATATGTGGTATTTACACATATCAATGCATACGTACCTGAAAACTGGAGCAATGGCCTCGAGTATTCCAACATGAAGAGCAAAAGGAGTGTAATATTTCTTATGAAATTCAAAGCCACATGATGGAATGTCTCGAATTACAT